GTTACTAAATGCCTCTGCAAAAAAAAAACCCCTATTTTATAGTCATAAAATCTTTTACTCTTATTTGGGCTCTATTGCTACATATAGTTTGTCCTTCTGTTCTRTGTTGCTAAAGGTCTGTGAAGGATACAACAATCAGCAAATGTAAGTGAGTTTTGCCAATGATTTCAGTGAACTCTGCTTCAGATCTCAAATGTTTTCATTCTTAAAAATACCCTGAGCATTACTTTTTGATGTAGAATTGAGGTGGTATTTCCAAGAATCCAGGCAGTCCTATCTTTACCTCTCATTGAGATGCCTGTTGAATATAGTCATATGTCTCTGGGTCTGATTTCACCTAGGCTTTCCGCATCCAGTCCTTTGTTAAATATATTYGAGGTAGCCTTGAAAGATTAATATTTAATTTAAAGAGCACCTTGACTAATCCATTGCCTTTTACAGTAACCATGATCTTGTGCATCTGCTTTTGTAATATTCAGGAACCTTTGAAATCAAGGCTAGACATCGTATACTTTTTTAATTGAGAATTTTTCTCATTTGAGTGTTGATCAGTTCTGAATGCCCCAATGGCCCATTTGAATTTCCAAAGCACAAGGAGTCTACTTTAGAAATCTACAAATGACTATTACACAAATAAAATAGATTAGGACTCTTACCATACAGACTCAGCAAACTTGGACCATTTTGTCCCATTTACCTCCTGTGCATTTGCCTTTTGTGGAAATAACAGCTGCTGAGCATCAACTGCTTTACTCAAATTCTACAGAATTTAACTCTTCTTTTTTAATATAATGTAATGCCTCATCTTTAGGAAGGAGCTTTAAACTTATTTGGCTGATGTGCTGCACAGACGCTACATGCCCAGCTAATTATATTTTTGGCTGCTTACACCTCTGTGATTCAGTCACTTAAAACAAAAGAAAATGAGGAGTATATAAAAAAAAAAAAAAAGACAAAAAATAATTTGTTGCATGAATCATTCCTTACATTCTTTTCCAGCTACAAACAATTTCTGTTGGGAAAAGTGCCACGTAGTATCGACAGTGACAACAACTTGTATTGTCCGATGAACATCTGTTTCCGACTCCCACACTGATACTGCAAGTTGGGTACTTCGGAGTTAGTCTTCACTGGCTGCCCGACCACAGAGGAACTGGAAATTACCGGTACGTTCAGCTTGTATTATTGGAACACAGGAAAACTTTATCATCGTGCTGGGAAGCTGTGTATCTTTTGCAATATTGGAGGGAGGGTTATGTTAGCACAGAAAGCCACATGCAATAGTTCTTATGGGGAAAGAGTGGCTCCTGTTCACTGTGTCCCTCGGTACATGTGGATATACAAGCCAGGGTGCAAAATCTCAAAATACAGCAATATTTCTGTTTTCACGATGCAAACTGCAATTCAGCGTGTGTTGCAGCATCTGGCCCTAGAGAATCTTGGTCTCTTGAAGAAAGATCTTTTCTAATTCACGTTAATTGCACCAGGATATTATGTTAGCGTTGATTAAAAAAATAGTCCTTGCTGGGTAGCTGATTTTATTACTATTTAAAAAAAAAAATGAAGACAACCCTAAGAAATATTTTCATAAGCAAATGAGTTGTGTTAGAATGATGAGTGTTATTTTGTTCTCAGTTAGGACAACATTTGTTGCTCAGCCTGGAGTAATAGGTCAAGTTCCACTTTAACAGGGAAGGGAAGAAATAATGATACATTCTCCATGGGCAATCTGTGCCACTTTGATAATGCTCCTACACCTGATCTGTAAATACACCAGCCACTGCTGTGATAAACCACTAAAAACCATCCTCTTTTAYACAGAGAGAGGGAGAGACTCCATGGAAACTCTTATTAATGTCAGTTGGAGTTGTCAACATGTAAGGGAATTAAAGGCAAATTATGTGGAGCTCCCACTGAAGTCAAGAGGAGAAGGTATGTCTTGAAGGAGATGAATGCAAATGATAAATACATATTGTTCAAGGGAGCAAGTCRTGTCAAGGGTGAACTACTTGTTCACAGGAGTGGCTAAAATGTCAGTGAATTTCATTCTTACTAAAGAGCAAGCATTGTCCTTGACCCTATTATCAGAAGAAGAACCTATCTTGTGAATGACAGGTCTAAACTAAAGTAAAATAATTGCCATTCCTACTTAAAGTTGTTATTATTAATAATAATAATTTACCATATCTCCCAATAATTTACCGATCTCCCTGTCTTTTCTTCWTATCTAGTCAGAAGGAACATCAGTGGTTGTGGAGTGATTAAAAGAAGCAGAGACTATTTTAGACCCTGGTGACCTGGGCAGAACCATGGCATTAGTTCTGGCTTCTACTTGCCTGCTASATAACTTGCACACCACCTAATTTAGCTTAATCCTTCCCAACACCCTTTCTCCCACATCCTTTCCTAATGTAGTGGTTGTGATGCCCTAAAACTAGTGCCTGAGCAAGCTGTAGGAGGATGAGAGATTTTTGTGCAATTGCCTCCTATTAGTCTCCCTGTTTGATTGTTTGTTTGTTTATCTATCTATTTATTTATTTATTTATTTATATATATATTTATTTTTGTTATCTGAGAGAGAGATAGCAGAGTCTGAATTAAAAATATCATTGCACCTTATTTGTAATTATGGAGCTCTAGCAATAGCCAGATGAAAAGATCACCAGCCTGTCAGACCCATCCGCTCTGAGCTCTCTTCTTAGAAATTTCTGCCACCTTTCCATGTCAAACCCAGAGCATCATTTCCCAAAAGGGTGCACATAGATTTTAAGAGTGTCACTAAAACACAGTGGCTTTTGTAGGAGATTTGTCTGTGGGGTTGGACACTGGTTGGTGCCTACAGACAGCTGCAATTACTACCCTAAGTAGTGACTGTGGCGATAATGTTATTCCTGGGGAACAGAGAAAGGAAAAGAAGAGGAAATATATTGAACAAAAAGGGAATTTAGAAATAACACATAGCAAATACAACTGGAATAAAACACTTGACACAGGCAGCTTTACAAATTAAAACAGGAAACTGGAAGAAACTTGAGTGAAACTGGAAATACACTATTGAAGACTTAACTTGCACTTATTCAGACAAAACTCTCATTGACTTCAGCAAATCTTGCTTCCAAAAGCGAGTGTAAGACTGGGACCATAATCRCAACTCGACTTGCACTGAAAATCACTAAATGCAGGACTGACTTGTTCAGCTCGCTGTTGTAGCAGAGCAAGTGGTGGTAGGTTCCCTAGTTCCTTGTACAGGGAATTGTGGCCATAGCATGGAGATGAGGACGGGTCCCAGCAGACTGTGGCACTTTTCTCCTCAACCCTCCAAGATGGATGAGCTGGACAAGGACCATGGCAAGTTACTTCTGGAGAAAGGGGGGAGCTGGTGTCAGATGCAGCGCCAGGAGGCACTGCCCAGGCTCGTTACTCAGGACGAGTTTCGAGCCTGTGGTGGGTGTTCCCCAAGTGACAAGGAGGCAACACACGGCGCCGGCTCTAACGCCAGAGCCGGGATACAATCCTTCGTCACATCCAGTGTCAGCTAGTCAGGATGATGCTTCCTGTATACAGCAAACATGCCAGTAAAAGAATTTCCTTGGCATATGGACAACATGGAAATGTCCTTTTAAAAATCAGTTAGTACCAGCAGAACTCATGAGCTAGCTGGAACCGTTTCCTATGCTATGGAAAGAACACTTAAATAAGGTTAACCAAGACACTTCACCCCCCCAGCCTCCCGCCTCCCCATCTATTTCTGGCTGTCTTCTTTTGTTCACCCTTGCTAATTATAGTGGCCTTGCTTATGTGATATTTATAGCCTTAAAAGACTTGCCTGACTTTCAGAACACTTTATTCATGTATATTTCCTGTGTTTATTGTTGCCCTAACTAATTTTTTAAATCAAATTTACGCGATCCAAGATTTTATTTAGCAACAAATATCAAAGTAACTTTTCTTTCAACAAATGCAAGGGCTCKCTTTAGATTTAACAAACCTTTTTCTAATTCTGAATTTCTGAAGACAGATTTTAGGTCCTTCTTGTGTCCAGATGATGAGTATGTCAGAAAAACTCCAGAGTTAGACAGGATGAAGTTTCTTTTTTTGCACCACAACATGGTTATTTGCTATCTTATTTCACTAATTGATTGTGCTCTTTCTTTTGGTCTGTTATGAAGATTGAGGTGATTCTCAGATACCATTAAATATTTCTTTATGTGYTACATCGCACTGACATTTACCTAATCATCTATAATTAACATCTGATCGGTATAGGGGTGGAAGAAAGGTRTCGAGGATTTCCATGCGGAATTAGAGCCTCACTTTGGTACCATGTCTTCCCTCACAGTTTTCCCTAATTCCCTCTTGAACTTTGTCTTTCTGGAAATGAAGTGTATTTGGGGGGAAAAATCCCACATGTGTTTTTTATCTCAGCCACAAGCAGTTGGATTTGGGAGCAGCGATGAGGCAAAGCGTGAGAAGGATTAGCGGCTCATGCTTTAATGGAGAAACATCAGCAGTGCAATGACCGCCAGCGAGGAGGCGGCGCCCGCCCCGCTGCTTCCCTCAGGGCTGCCCTGTGTCCCCTCTGTGCATGTCCCACTGTCACCATCCCTGTCCTGAGTGGCCATTTCACCCTCCTGTCCCCTCCGTTTGTGTGTGGCCCTGAGGGATCTTCTTGCCCTCCCCACCCCTCCACGTGCATCCCTAGGAGGCCATGCTCTCCCCCGCCATCCCCTCCATGTGCGTGCAATGGCAGCCATTTTGTCCATCTGTCCCCTCCATGAAGGACCCTGTGCCACCCTCCCACCTTCCTTTTGCACAGCAGAACTAGTCCCTATACAGGGAGTGGAAATTGGCCTCAGACAGGCCAACATGAGGCTTGGAAGCAGATGTTACAGATTTGTTTCTCAGCTTTGCCCACTAACGGCCCCAACAGTCACCACCTGACCCAACACCCCCTGCCCGGCCATATTAAGGCCAAGGCAGTGGCTGTTTCCGACTCTGTTGTGCTTCCTGGCCTTGCTGAACAGCCCCGCCACCACCAGTGGTGATTTTGGTGGTCRCCAGCCCTGGGCAGCTCCCTGTGGAAGTGGTGGCAGGAGCATTGATCCCAGTCTGCTTCCATGGTGCCCAGGAAGAGCCTTGGCCCTCACGGTCTCGCCAGGCAGTGAGAGTGTTCGGTAACGCAAAGCTCTCCGTGTCTACTGGGTGAAGGGTGTCCAGGCAGTAGGTGAAGTTCACTTCAACGTGAATTTTATGTCCCCAGYGTGAAATTACCTCTTGTTTGTGTTTGTGAACTGGATGGCAGAGATTCAAATGCTCATAAGTTGGGGTTGTGAAATGGAGCAAACTCTAACTACTTCAATACAGGAGCAAAAAATGTATTTTAAGTATATGGCCAGGTTGTTGTGTTCTATAGAACAATACTTTCCTGGCAGTAGGTTGATACTATTTTAAATGGCCAAAAGTCTGTACGTTCATGTGTACTGGTCAAAGATCGGATGTACAGAGTGAGTCTGAAAAAAGTTTAGGTGCAATCTGCTTCTCAATTTTACTCTCTCTTTCTATCTAAAGCTTGATTTTGTATCCCATTTTTAACATTGGATGTGGAAAAGACCTAGCAAGTCCTCTACTAAATTTCTTTATATACAGCTGGATRCTGCATCCAAGCTGTTTTGAGTGATCTTACAAATTATAGCATGTTTTGGAAGACTTTAGCTTTATGCTTTTACTCCAATAACGRAGCCTGCAAGTGACTTCAATAGGGCTCTGATCTCATTCTAACTATAAATGTTCTTAAGGGCAACAGGTTAATAGAGAAACATCCTTAAATCTAAACAGCGCTTGCAGATTTATCAAGGCAGGTRTTCGCTGTTGCTAGGAACCATCCCATGCAAACAAGAATGTTGTACAGGTATTGCGTAGAAGCACTGGATGTGAAGGAAACAAATGCCAAAGAATGAGGAACCATGTGTTTTTTCCAGCAGTAAGATTTACTGCCCGGTTGTTAAGAAATGTCATAATTCATGTGGGCAAAAATGGCACTTCTGTGTGTGTGTGTGATCCAGAAACTTAAAAAATGGAGTCCYTTGCAGGTGAAGAGCTTTGATTAGAATGAGAGATGACTTTTCTATGTGATATCAGGAAATAATATGTCTATATTTTACAAGAGATTATAGTTCTTTAATTTTTAGTCTTTAAACCTCTCCCCTTTGTTTGGGAAAAAGATTGATTCCTCCTAGCAAAAAAATAACTGTTAAAAACAGTGGTCTGGGAATACCRTAGAGCTGATCAGTCACTGTTGTCTAGTTTCTTTTCCAATTTTGCAGTCCATGTTTGAGTTCACCTTAATATCACTTTGAACTGGCACCAGCATGCAATGTCTAAAGAGCAATCTTTCCCTCTGCAACTCAGCAGTGTGAGATGCATGTGGTCGCATCACACATGTAATGCTAAAAGTACTTTTTTTTTTTTTGTGCTTTTAATTGGCTGCCTACACTTTGAAGAAGAGACTAGACTGTAAATGTTGAGCTTCTCGTTTGCCTCCAGCTTGCTCAAATCCTGCCTAGTTCAGAAGCAACTAAACACTGTTATCCCGTTGTGATACTCTTGGAAAGCTGAGTGTATTTGCTATAGGGAACTGGTGATTCCAAAATCCACTTGAGGGGAAAAGTGGCCACCTTTCCAAAAAACACCCACAGGGAACACAAGTGATTKGTCTTGGCACGATGCTGAGCATCAAACATTAGACAGAGAAGTGTCRCTGCCTCCCCTTTTCTGTTGTCCCCATCTGTAAACTAAAATACCCTGGTTTGAAACAAATGGATGCAGAAAAGCTTTTTTTTATTGTTTTKTTTTTTTTTTTCCTCCTTACCCATAGAAAAAGTGGCCCTGCACTAAAACTGAACAAACTGTTTGAAAAAGTAGCAAAATGACACGGTCCCTTCCAACCACAGCCATTCTGTGATTCTGTGACATGCCCATATGCTAAAATATTGCATTTAGGCATAGGCTTGGTAGGGAGGAGAGCAAGAGAAGATCATGAAGCTAATAATAAAATGTTTACAACGTTAAGACGGGTGGAGGGTATAATCTGAAGCTTCGTTAATCACTGGTTTCTCTGCTGAGAGTTCTCTTTCTGTAACAATAATTTTAGTGGGGTTTTTGTTTGCTTACTTTGTTTTTTGCTACCTCTTCTCTCCCTGCTTCCCACCCTCTAAAAAAGAACTCCCAACATATTTCCTGCTCTTTATAATGCAAGGTAGCTTAATTTAATTAATGTTCTTAAAGCAATAGTTATTTGCTTATGTCATTTTAAAATACTTTAGTGTTTGAGAGAATGGTGTAATTTTTTTTTTCTCTCCAGATCAAATATATTTAAACTAGACCAAAAAACAGTAGTTATACAAGACAGCATATTAACCAGTGTGAACAGTGATACTAAGGACACTCCTAAACCTGTTTATGACAACTTCCCTGACTGAAAGAACACGGCAAAAATTTCATCAGCTCTGTTAGTTACATTTCCTGTCCTGATAAATGCATGCTACAAAGTCCAAAGCACTTCAGGTTATTAAATTGCCTTTGATTACTTAAGCCTAAATAATATATCAACCTTTTATCACCCCAAGGAAGACCTTTTAAAGGTATTCTACTATTAGTATTTTTTTTCTTTCAGAAGTAGATTTTTTTTTCCTAATCTGTATTAATTAATGCAGTTCAACTGGATTTTTGTACTGCAATTCTTTGTGTGTTTTTTTGTTGATCATTTTTTGATATTTGATTGCAGAGACTTTGAATTTGAAAATTCAATTTTACAGGTAGCGACTTCGCTTACTATATCCAGCTTAATGCATTTTATAGGTAAAATACAGACTCCATCAGTATAGTTGACCCTACTCTCACTAAATTTGCACTGTTKTAAGAAACAGTTTTAAATTCTATTAATATAATTTAATATAGTTTTCTGTATGAGCTCCCTTTAGTTTATAGGGAATCTGTTGTGATGTATGATAGAAGTTGTCTTTGAAGGGCATTTTACCCCTAAAGTGAGTGTGGCCTAATCTGTACTTATTGGGAGCAGTCTCTCCCAGAAATGATGCAGTGTGACATCAGTGAATGGCCCGAATCAATGTGCAACCTCAGTGCATAGCTTTAGGATGAGCTGCTTTAACGTGGGATATGCGCCTCTTCCTGCAATCATTCACTAAATGGGCTTGTGCTCATGTAGTACTTTGACCCGTGACATCCTCGCTAAAATAGCCAAATAAGTTCAGGTAATACATTCGGTGACTCACGAGCCCTTTAGTTAGTGCCTTCTTTGTAGTTACCAACATGCAGTTGGTTTTCTGATCCTTAGCCAGGAGGGAGCAACCTCAGRGCTCTTCTCCGGTGCAGGTTCTCTTGTCTTCCTGCTCCGGACAGGGAATGCTTCCCTTTATGGATTGAGGAATACTTAACTCTGGAAGTAGCTGTTGGCTTTTCTCTGCTGTGAGCTGATGAGGAAAGACGGGTCTGGTGGCGCTGTCTGYGTCTTTTCTTGGGCCAGGAAACCTTTGAACCTGAGAAACTCTTGCAATATTTTCTTTTTAGCTTTGTACGAAGACCTTTTCACCTGACTAGGACAGCTGGCTACAAATCTAGCATCYCCAGGGCATTCCTGAATTTTGGTAGTTGAGGATAAGATGGATATAATCTTACTTTCATATTTACTGAGCTTTCAGCAACTCCAGAATAGCAAACAGGCAGCTTTGCTATTACTATTATCAGGGGTCTACTAGGAGGTAATCTCTGTATTCTTCTTTCATGTATATAAAGAAATATATAGAACATTTCTCAATATGAATAAGTGAGTAATATGTAATGTCAAAAGCAGAATTACTGACGTTCCTACAAAATATCCTAAATTTCAAAGGCAGATATGTATGTTTGAGATAATGGGCAGCTACTAAAATCAAGGTAACCAGACTGCAGCTGATATTGTTTCGTTATGATTATTTTGCCTCATAAATATTTCCATTCATTTCTGAAGTCCAATCTGGAGGAGCAAGGATCTGCTCATTAGCTCAATGTGAGTCTTAATGAATTATATATTTTGAAAATGATATATAATTTTGAATTATGCAAAATGAGCTGTAGTTAGTTCCACACAGTCAATGTTTTTCCTTTGTTTGTGCTAACATGTGTAATAGGTCCAGAAAGGTGTTGGCAATTTGGTAGAACAACATGTGAGAAAATGGTGATAATGCGTGAACAGATAAACTCATGGATTAAAGTTTCAAAATGTGTTTGTTATCATTTTAGAACACTTAAAATTGTCAGCCATAGTGGAAGAAAAAGAGAAAAGTTTAAAAATATTATTCACTGTTTTTTTTTTAATCATCTCTCATCACTAAGATAAATATAACCTAACCCACTGGCAGGCCAGGCAGCATTTTTTCTTCGTGCTGCCCTCCTTTCCAGTCCTTCTCAAACCATTCTAGCTACAGATCCCTACRTGTAGGAGAGAAGAAACTGTTTCTCCTATTTTATGACTGAAGAGAGAAATGAAATGTGTGAGAATATTTTTAGAAGTAATATGTAAGAAAGATTTAGCATGAAGTGAATGGGTACAGTGAAGCTTTTGCAAACATGCCGGTCAGTAACTTGCACCTAGTTGTTCAAGGAATGACCTACAATGACAGAATCCTTGTGCCTTTCCTACAAAGCATCTTTATATGCACTTCTGTTGTTTTTCAAGATTTTAATCTTGGGGATCTTCTAGAGCACCCATCTCATCTGGGAGAGACCTCAGAATCAGTCTTTAAGCTTAGACAGTTAGGAATAATGGGAAAATGTCTTTGAAAACCAATACGTATGTCTCAGCTATGTASAGATAGTACACCTAGTTCTCTCTTTCTCACAACTGCCTTTTCCTTTATGTCTATATTCAAAATCTCTGCCATATTCTAAGGTCCTGTTTTTCCCCCACCAAAGGTTCTACGCTCTGTGAAGGATCCAGAGAGCTGCTTTTGCTGCCTTGACCGAGAGGAGCTGACACCATGGACTGACAAAAGATGGTTGTGCCCAGGAAAGGTATGGAAACCTCACATTTCCTTAATTCTGGTTTTCTCCTCTCAAATCAAATCAAGATTGTGTTCTCAGATCCTTTAGTGCTGAGGCCTCCTTTGCTGTTGACAATATAAGGTCTGATCTGAACAAGTTTTGACCTTCCCAGATTCTTTTGAAGAACTTAATATTGTTGTTTAATATGTTCCCTAAATACTAGATGCAGATAGATTTTGATAGATTTCCAAGTCTGTTGATATTCCAAGTCTGTAGATGAAGATGATGATTAAGATGAAACAAATGCCTCTTGGAAACGTATGTGGAAAGAGAATAGTTCACTAGACAAATTCTGTATACCGTGAATTTCCACAACATAAAAACATTTCCAGAAGTCTGTATATGCAGAGAATTACATGTATACTTCCAGAGCCTGGAGATGTTGCTCAGTACTTCTGAATGTTTATATCTGAGATGTCTGTACTAGTAAAAATATATGTTGAACAATATCAATATCAATAATAGAAGGTGAAAACTCTCTCTTAAACTATTCCCAACAGAGCATTTAGCATGCTTGTGAACTCTGCCTCCAAAAAGTGAACGTTGCTTAAATATTTTTGTGTTATCACTTTAATCACAGCTGGCATTTTAAGGAAGATCGTGATAAGTTAAAAATTCTTACATTAAATATCTTGCTTCACGATTTGTAGTGATTTTTCACAGGATTACTTGCCGGCTAAAGTATTGTCCAGTGTTTAGGTAAAAGAACCTGGTCCCTATTCGTTAGGATATGGTTTCTTGGATTTTTTTTTGTTTGCAATTTTAATCTTTAAGTTATTTAAAATGGGGAGCGTGGGTTACTATGAAATCATAAACAACTTACAAAGCAAACAAARATGTGATAATCTTTTCCTCCCTTTAATGTCTTTTTCCCCTCGGCGTAAACTTCCTCCTTTCTTTTTCTGTATGTGGGCTGAGTTCTTAATGATTCCCGCACCCGTCACCAGGCACAATCCGAGAGAAGCTCGAGTTGTATGTGCAGCACAATGAATGTTACCTTGCTTTTCCTGTAATCAGGCTTTATTACACATTTCTTGGTATCGTTATGGTTGTGACAGAAATGCCTTTGTGGCAGGCACCCTGSCTAGAGCTCTTTAAAGGAGGTCTTGCTTCTGTGCTCTCTATTTCCATGTATTTCCCGTGAAATCCTGTGGCAGTTAATCTGTTTGGACACCATCTTTCCCTTAGGTAGACARGAGTCAGCAAGAAGTTACGGATGGTCACAAGACTTTACACAGAGTTCGGCAGAAAAAGGCTGTAGCAAAATCATCTCAGGGCAGCGTGGGGAGATTCAGTAAAGAGCAATATAATAGGGAAAATCTGATGCGATTTGAATTAATTAGGCAGATTTTTTTGAGGCAAAAATGTTTTTAAATCAGTCCAGAGCTAATTTCTGTATCAAGAGAGTGGCCAACCACAGTAGTCTCTCTCTATTATTTAATCCTAAATTCCTGGCTTAATACTKCTGTGTCAGACATGTCCACACCAGACAGTAAAATTGCCCTAATGAATAACCTGAGAAATTTCTGTGGGGGGATTTCTGGCCACCAGTGACCTGTGCTTCTGGGTTCAGTGAGTGGCCCAGCTCTCCAGCGCTCCAATGAGGAACAGCCCAAACTGCAGCCAGCATAGATGAAGGAAATCCCTAGTGTATCAATGGTCATGAGAACCAAAGGGAGTCCCTGAGGTCTTCTCCTTGCTTTCTCCTCTGMCTATACGTGGCTTGGGATTCAGCATTTTTGGTTAAATGCTTGTGCACGCGTCCACTAGTATTCTGCTGGGAATGTCAATATCACAAATATGGGTTTATATAGGAAATATACACAGACAAACGTTGGGTTGATACCTCTGTTACTTGGGATAACAGAATAAGTGTGTGACTACTGTGCAAAACGGTGTAACGAGCCTGCTAAGAACTCAGAATAGCAGCCTGCCAGTGAGGAGCAAAATTCATGTTAGGCCCTGTGGAAGTTAATAACAGTTGTGATAAATAATAAAATACAAAAGAGCTGAACTGAAGCTTGAATCTCTTTGATACAGCTTTATAACCACCTCAGATGGAAAACAGCCAAAAGTTTCTCCTCATAGCCTACCTACATGAAACCAAATAAATTAAGCATGAGATGCATAGTTAAAAAAAAAAAAAACTCAACCATACTTTTTGCTTAAAATACAACATCACAGCAAATGTAATATTTTTCTTGATAGAGGGAGAACGTAAGGTTGTTACCTACCTTAAGTTCTCTAAAAAAGATGCTACTCCTCGCCCACTCGACGATGGAGAAGAGGGTTTGGTCGGCCATTTTGCACATGAGCCCAAACGTGTTGAGCTTCTCGTGCTTGCTTCTGTTGGCTTGCTCTTGCTGCAGGTAGGCCATGATCTTCGCTTGGACCTGCGGCTCGTCGGGCTCGCACTTCAGCAGTTCCAAGATGAGGTGGGGGATGCTTGCCGGCGAGCTCGTTTGGTAGCTATCCATGTAAGAGTAGCCCATGATGGACTCTGGGGAGCTGGTGTAAGGGTCGGGGTACTCGGACTTGATGGCGCGGCTTGGGAAGTGCCCGTAGGTTTGGTAGCCTTGCAAGCTGCCGTGGGGCGGCATGGTCATGCTGATCGGGGAGGTCACGAAGGGGCTTCTGTCATAGTCTGTGGGAGGCAAGGCAGTGTGGTTCAGAGGTAGGCCTTTGGAGGCAGAATGGATGTTCTGGATTGCCGAGGATATCGTCAAGTCGGTGGGCATCGCTTGGATCACCTGAGTCATGGCTTCCAGCTTAAGTCCGTTCGCTCGGATGAGGGCTTTCTTCTGCTGCTTCAGGGCTCGGTCTCTCTTGTACATTGGTCCAAACTTGTTCCGCCCGCCGCGCATTCGGTCGGCTCGCACGGCTGTCAGGGCACAGGAGGGAGCAAAGCAAAATTACAGCTTGGGAAACGAGCATTCCTGAGCAGAACATATATATATATATATATATATATATTTTTTTTTTTTACTTTTCCATGTTTTCCTAATGTGTTTCCTTTATTTTTAAAATTCAAAATAGCACTTCTACTCCTAGAGAAAAAGGTTCGTTTTGATTTAACAAACATAGGCTTTCTTTGGTGTTTTTAAGTACCACAGGTTTATTACTAGTGTAGAAGGACGGCTGTTTACATTGACTAGGATGCAGTGGCAAACACGATGGTTGGCTACAGGAATTTCACATCTGCCATGGGATCGTGTTGAGATCTCAATGTTTGATTTTATGTCAAACTAATATATTGTTAAGAAACAAGGGCTGATGTCCAGAATTTGCCTGAGAGGTATCCAGCGGACCACACTGGCTCATTTTTATCATTCCATAACTGCCTTCCACCGCAGCAAAACATCTGAAACTTAAATTGTGAAACATTTGGTAGTCACAAAGGTGAATATGCTTTTCTTGGCAAAAAGGAAATATTTCCTTTGGATGGCTCTGCTCAGGTTGGTGCAGGAAGCTTGGGAAGTTCCTGGTTAGGTGACCGGCTACAGAAACGTTCAGCTGCAGTTGGAAGGCGCCCAGGGGCGGCTGTCAGCTTGCTGCCTTCCCCACGCGAGGTGGGAGCGACCCAGAAACTATTGCCACTGCTCTGGCTTGCAATATCCCTGGAATTAGAAATAATTAAAACAAATCCACCTCAACAGCTGTCTTGGGAGTCATAGTGGTGGCCCCTGTCACAGCAGAGCCTGTCACCGTGGCGTGTAGCTAATGGGCCAGTGCGTAGCTCTTAGCAAGCCCACCTTGCCCCATGGCAATTAGATTGAAAGAGGAACCTTTGACAGCCTGGTGACATGTTGAGACTGCTGAGATTGCTGGAGGTTAAGTTCTTGAGCTTTTTATCTTAGGGATTAGTATAACATTAAAAATTTATTATGAATGCTAGGTACCCGTTATACTGCACATTATCATAAGGACTTTATCGTTTAATGATTTTTTTTTGGTCCACGTTAATTTATGAATTAGACATTATATATATCACTATCAGGGAAATACACATATAAGTGTCAAAAACATTTACAATCATGAAATCTTGTGTTCTTTCAATTTGCTAGCTAGGTAAGGGAAGTTGTACAGATGTGGCAGAAGACGGATAACATTTTTTTGAGTATCTTTAAAACTACAAATACTTTACCTACATTTGTAGTAAAAAAATGTTGCTAATATTGCTGCTTATGTTTTTGAGCAAAGAGCAAGGCGAAAAATATCAACAAACTGTTAAATATTGATGCTAAAAGTAATTACATTTAAATCAACATACATAGTATCCTTTCAAGTATTCTACAGTTCAAAACTGTAAGCCAGATTCTTTTGGCAAATACTTTTTATAATGGTTATAGAAATTAAAGGTGAACTGTGGGTATCAAAGAAATGCAAAAATTGGTCCTCTCTCATTGTTAGTAATCGAGAGGAGTTAAAAGTAGAACACACATGTATTCTAACCTGTGTTCTTAATCTCAGCAATGAGAAAAGGATTCCAAATGTCTTTATTTGAATTTGGAAGAATGTGCAGGAATTCAGGATGCTCGGAGTGGTGGATCAGTGCTAGCTGAGTCTTGTGGACAATTAGGATAGCGCTGAATTCGCCAAACAGCAGAAGGCTGATCTGGTGGTTTAAATTCAGGTATATCAACAGATTTCCTTGCCAGACTCAAGTGAGTGGCCCTTCTCCTTCATGGTCAGGTTTTGGCCCAGTTCTTCCTAGCTAAGTGAATGCCATTTCAGTCCAATCATARGAATAAGGAATGTAGATTTCTGATCTACAGTCCTTAGTYGAGCAATAATGCCATTTGCTGTGAAATCTGAGTGATATCAAAGTTAGAAYGCATTATGTTTAACCAGTATGATTCTTACATTTTACTGATATTTTGTCAGCTGTTTGCCACAAAGGGAATGGTCCTTTTCTCATTGTCCCTTGTATAGAAGGGAGCACAGTAGAATCAAAAATAGACTTGAAAATGCCTAGTTCTGAGGACTTAAAATCTCTCAGATGTAATATCGGGAAAATAAGGGTCAAAACTTTAGACATCAATTTGGTTCCTTAATCCCAAAGGCAAGTCAGTGTGAGGAAAACTCGCATTTTATCTGGTTTTGTTTATATGTCTTCTTTGGCTTATTGTCAGAAGAACATTAAGAAAAAAATCCCTTAATTAAGTAGAAATTAAATCAGATCACTGCATGACAAAAACCTGCATTTAATTACAGCTACTTTTTTTTTCTAATTTGGACACTAAGATATTTTGCATTTAATCTAAATTAAGTCTTATTAAAAAGATACAAAACTAACTTCCATGCTGGCTAGATCTCTTAATGCACAAACTCTAAATTATTGAAAATATTACATATACACATGTGTAAAATTGGCTTGTGATTTTGACTAGTCTTTAGTGATTTACCTCTTAAGAGAATTTTTTGAAAAGCAACAGTAAACATACCTGAAGTCATCTTTTACCACAATAGCAAAGTCATAAATATGTAGCAAATTTGTATAAAATTGTATATATCATATAATAACATACATAAACCTATTGCATATTCAGAAATTAACCTGTTGGATAGTTGATAATCTCAGGAAGACTATGGCTCTTACCTTCTAATTTCATTCCAACACTTAGACACTTTTGAAACCGACAGTAAGGGCATCGTTTCCTCTGTGTTTTGTCAATCTGGCAGTTCTGGTTTTCTATACACGTGTACCTTTTGTTGTTCTGCACTGTTCGCTTAAAGAAACCCTGTGAGGGAGACACAAAAATTGGCCTGTTTAACAGTGGGCTTCGGCGTTTGGATTCATGCAAATCACTGTCAAATATCTCCCTGACAGCACTTAAGTAATTACAAAGTTACAGAGTTTATTTTAAATTACAGTGGGCTGTACCCAGGGGAAAACTTCCAGGCTCTGGAAGTTTTCTCATATTAATGCTGTGTTTTATAGCCTTAGGTCCAGCCTTGGTAAGATTGGCTCAAGTCTCCCATGTTCTGCTACTCCCGTAGCAGCAGCAGCAGCAGCAGCAGAAATAGCAAAGCTGACCAGTTCCTCCCTTTAATAATTGTAAAATGAGAGCAAAGTGTTTCTGTTAAAGTAACTTTATGTGGGATAAGTGGGAATGATGCTGCAAAGAAAATGGAAATACAGAACACCTCTGGCTACTCTATGTCTTCTTGGTGCATGCTAGAGGCTTAGTAACTGCTTGTTAGTCACTTCTCGTTATTTTTTTCATGAAAATATCACATGCAAAGTTATTTTTTTTCCAGGCACTAAATATTTTAAATTCCGTTTTTCTGACAAAGGTGTTTCCTTTGCATTACTTAGACCATCAAAGGATTTTTTTCATCGTAAGTTATTTGGCAGATGCCATAAATTTATCTGCGTGTCACTATTGTACTTCAGCATTTAAATAGTTATGAATTTCCCTTCCAATATGATAAGCTGCATTTGTGAATATTTGGGTCTCAAAATGAGCAATAATTTAAAAGAACTCGTGCGTTAGTCACTGGATTGGTTTGTCATGCATATATAGTTTGTATGGGGAAAAACTGCAAAGTCACCACGGGCACAGGAACGTGCAGCCTGATACGGATGGAGGAAAAATCTCCCGCGGAAACCTGCAGGAGATTTTGCAAAGCTCATCTGTATCACTGATGGTTTTTCACTTTGTGCTGCAGAAACAGAATGTGGACAAGCCAGCAAAGATCGACATTTGGGATAGTTAAGAACGGAGGCTGTTCCCTAACTACAGCACTTTGCAACAGCGAAATAGTTCAAAGCAGTGACAAAGCTCCCRTGCAAAATGCCATGTACAAATGCGACTGCTCTCCAAGTGACTCCCAAAAACTAAAGYCTTTGGGGAGGCTAATTTTACAAGTAAACGTAACAACAAACAGATCAGAAACAAGTTAAATTATTGCACATCTCTGCTTTCYCGAGTCTCCTTTTTTGTTCGGTTTCTATTGGAAACTTTCCTGGCCGTGCCCTGCCCGTAGGAAGGAAGGGAACAGAACCTTGCAGCTCTCACAGGTGAGCAGCCCGTAGTGGTAGCCGGACACCTTGTCGCCGCAGACGGGACACAGCTCCTCCAGGTCCTCGTCGTAGGAGTAATTCACCATTTTAAACTGAGACACTGCAAGAGGCAGACACAGCGCGTGMGATTAGGGCTTAGCGTGGAGAACTCAAATTTCCTGCGGCTATTCTGAGCTAGAAGGGGGGAAAAAAACTTAAATATACGGCTGGAAAATGAAGAGAAAGTTTTATTTTTCCAAACGCGGCTTGCGCTGAGACGTGCGGCTCCTCCTCAGCGGCGAACCCGCGGGACGCTTAACGAGCGGACAAACCCCGGCAGCTTTACGGCTTTATGCGCGTACTATTTATTTTTCCCGAGCGCTGTTAACCCAGCCCTTCAGTTTACGGAGTCRCAAACTGCGTGAATTCGTTTAGGTGCGCGGGCGCTGCGGGACGGGCGCGGGCGCCTCGAGGGCAGCGCGCACGGCGGCGCTTGGCTGCCCGCAAAGTTTTCCTGTCGCCAGCAGCCCGCACGCAGCGACCCGCGGCCGCGTTTCCCGCAGAAACGCCGCGCTCGGCGCCGCTTCCTTCCCTTTTCCCGCCGTCCCGAGGCGCGCGGGGAGGACGCTCCGCGCCGGGATGCGGGAGCGCCGCGCGCGGCCGCTCCCGTGGGAACTTTCCCGCTCCTACCTTGCATGTTTTCAGGCATCTGCCCCTGCTCCCCATTCGCACGGGCGAGTCCCAGCGCCTCCGTCTCCACTTTGGGCAGCATGACAGGGCGGCCGCGGGCCGGGCTGGCCGCGCCGGGGCCCTCGGCGACACCAGCACCTGCACACGGCAGCACAGATTTAGCCGGAGCGAGGGCAACTCGGCGGCCTCTTCCTCCTCCTCCTCCTCCTCCTCCTGCTCTGCCGTCCCTGTGCTCCAAGGCGCAGCGGGAGCGCCGGGTGGCCGCGGCTGCGCTGGCCGCGCTGCGGGCGGCGGCGAGCGGAGGAGGAGGAGGAGGAAGGGCCGGGAGGAAGGCGGCGCGGGGCTCAGCGCGGCGGCAGCGCGGCGCCCCGCTCCATGCTCGGCAGCGCTCTGCGCCGCCGCCGCCGCTCCGCGGGCTTCCCACCGCCGGCCCCCTCCTCCCCGCGCCCTCCTCCTCCTCCTCCTCCTCCACCCCCTTCTCCTCTTCCTCCTCCTCCTCCCGCTGCGAGTGCGGAGGCAACGAGCCGGGACCTCCAGCCCCGCGGGGAGGCGCTCGGGGGGCTCCGGCCGAGGGGGGCAGCGGGGCCGGGGCGAGGGCAGCCGCCCCCACGCACCCCCCTGCCGAGCTGCCCCCCCACGCACTGCGGGCACCGGGACTTGGGCACGCGGGGCCCTGCGCGAACGTGCGCGGGGCCCGCGCATCCCGAGCCACGGGCTGGGGCAGCGCGTACTACAAATGATACCTGGTCCCTCGTGGCTACGTTTAATTTAACATGGAGTTCCAGCTCTCCCGATCGCCTTGAGCAACCTTAATTACCCTTTCTTCTAATCTCTCCTCCATTCCTCGCTAAGTTCTCCAAACTTTTTTTTTTCTTTTTCTCTCTCTCTCTTTTTTTTTTTTTTTTAATGTGATTTCTCTCCTGAGTTTGCCTGCCTTGTTCTGACTTTGCCTGAAGGTCTTGATTGACGCGTGTAATTATAATTATAAAAGATGATGGCTCGGGGAGCCTCCAGCAGCCTTGATTAGTACAAGGAGCAAGACCTGGAATATTTTATACGTCCCAATGTAAATGTATGTACATTTACATTAAAAAACACTGTCTATTTTTTTTTTAAATAATCTGAGGCATCTTTCACCTCTTTGTTTCCAAGAAAGAGCGCTCTGCGTGATAATATTTAAGGCAGCTCCAATTTCTTACGGCTTCAAAGAGGCCTCAGAATTGGGCAGATTTCAAAGCTCTTTTCCCTAAGGAGGGACACCTCCAACTCGGAGGCTCTGCTCCATGAGCACTAAACGCGGTCCAGCCTTTGGACACGACCAACTTCGCGGAAACAAGTGCCGACAAGAAGTGCACGAACGCCTGGCGCTTCTGTGCAGGGAAGCCTGAGCTCAAAGGCAATCCGGGCGGGAATACTGGGAATCCTTAGGGAGGACAGGAACCCGCACCGCGCTCCCTGCTCAGCATTCCCGTTTGCAGCCAGCAGCGGGGCCGTCCCGCCCTGGAAGCGGCTGCTCTGCCCGGCCGGGGGGCGAGCGCTGCCTGGGGAGCCGGGCGGCCGCGGCCACGCGTGGCCCCGGGGGGGTCCCTCCGAAGGGCCCACTCCGCCCAGCCCCGCGGAGCTTTCCTGCACTTCTGCACCAGGAAATAAGCGCGCGATGCGGATCTTTTCTTTTCTTTTCTTTTCTTTTCTTTTCTTTTCTTTTCTTTTCTTTTCTTTTCTTTTCTTTTCTTTTCTTTTCTTTTCTTTTCTTTTCTTTNTTCTTTTCTTTTCTTTTCTTTTCTTTTCTTTTCTTTTCTTTTCTTTTCTTTTCTTTTCTTTTCTTTTCTTTTCTTTTCTTTTCTTTTCTTTTCTTCCCCCCTCATCCTTTCCTTTCCCTCCCTTTCGTCCCGATCACAAACCCGCGCTAAGCAGAGCGCGCCTCGAAACCTCCCCGTCTCCCGGCGCGCAGGAGCGGGCTCCGCTCCTCGCTTTGCCGCTTCTAGTCGCTACACACTCCTCGGGTGGAGGTTGTTCGTGCCTCCAACTCATGGGAAAGTAGAACTGTCCTGTCTAGGGAACCGAAAAAAAAAAAAAAAAAACCTCAACGCGTGCTTTATTTTTTTGCTTTCCACCTGGAAAAGGCGCCGGGACCTGTTGCCGCCAACGATTCAAGGGGAAAAAGCGGCCGCCGCGGGGCTCTGCGAGGCGCGGGCTCTGCGCGGGCTCTGCGCGGAGCGGCAGCCGCTGCCTTGGCCGCTTCTGCCTTGAATTCCCGGCGGAGCGGGGCGCGCAGGGAGCAGCTGGCCGGACCCGCGGGAGCGGAGCCGCCGCGGGATCGCAGCGCCGCGGCCGCCGGAGCGCGCGCGCGGTAATTGATTCCTATCCTGCACAGACAGGCTTCGAAATGAAATTTCTTTTGCGGAGGCAACTGACCTTGATCCGCTGGTGGAAAAAAAAATCCGTTTTCGGTCTGCGCCTCTCCTCCCTACCCCCCCCCCCCCCCGCTAATTATGTTTTGAAGCTTGGAAAACTTTATTTCGAGAAGTAATTTAATAGCTGATCTTTATCATGAACAAAGCTAAGGCTCCTATATACACGTATCGCAGAAGATTTCTTCACACAGAAGTATATAATCATAAAACAAACCGTGAAAAGATAAAATAGGGATAGTTTATACTGAGAAATCTTGATAAGAATTATGTACATATGCATGCCTGTTCATTGTGCATAGGAATATATTAATACATGTTACCATGCACGTGTTGCGTATGTTAGCTCTGCCATGTGTACAATGTAGTATACGAGCAAGCCGTGTACATTAATAATAAGGCGGCATCGGAAGTTGCAGTGATCTCCCCCGTGCCGCAGCCGAGCGTGACTCCCGCTGCTCTTGGTTCTTCCCTTGCCCTGGATGAGGAGGGATTTGAGAGCCGGCCTTTGCATTCCCGCGTGGCCAGCGGCCGCCCGCAGCCACCCGGCATCGCGGGCTCCCCTCTGGAGCGCGTTGGCCGCTCGTCCCTCCTGCTTGGGCACTGAAAATCAGACCGACCGGAGGAAAAGGGGTGTCAAAGCAAGCCCTGCCACTGGGTCAGTGGACATCCCAAAGCATCTCGGGGAGAAAACACCATAAAAAAGGCAAAAATACCCCATTATGAGCTCCTTGCTAGCGCAAATCCCAGCCTAAGCATTGGTAATGAATCTGGTGACTGTTTCCTAATACACCTTTTTTCTACTGTGCTTAACCAGCCTACAAACGACACAGATGTTTATATAACTTTCCGTGATAATCTCTGCTGTCTTTGTTAGTCATATAAAACTGCATTATATATGCATTCTAATAATAATAATAATGCCGAAAAATAAACCCTGCCAAACTCAAGAGCACTAATTATATTATAATAGTGTAAACTGCCCGAGGGCATACATTAAAATTAAGATGGCAGTAAGTATTACACAAGCTGGAAAATTTCACAGTTAGAAAGTACAAGGAGATTACTTTCCTGTTATATAACCATTTTTTTTTCAAGTTAATGAAACAGTTATTTGTGTTAAATAATCATAGTTAATGCTTATAAAAATTACATAGTGTCCCGGAGGACACCAAGACAAGAGGCTGATTAGAGGGAAAAAAAAAAACCCTAGTGAAGTAGCTTTGTATTGCCCATGGAGCTGATAGAAGAAAAACATCTTGGCACCTTCCTAGCCATTTTCAGAGGTAAATTTAATGAGGTGGGTGCCAAAGACACTGTGTAGCACCAAGGGTTGCCGGGTTCCAGTTACCTGTGTGATGATTTGGCTGCAAAGTTAAACTCAGGTGTTGAAGGAGGTGCTCGGGTGGCAGCTCCAGCCGGAGCAGGATCTGCTCCCATCTCCATCGGTGTAAAGGATGCAGGTGGCCTGCACAGGCCCTGGATGAGCACTGAGCGGTCCCTCCAATGCCCTGGGCACGTGGGGTTTGCTACCGTGTCCCAGGGCCGGGCCTGCCTCTCCCAGGGGTGCTTGCAAACACATCCCAACACGGATTTGCAATGGAGCGCACCCACAAGCTCACTTGGGACTGAGCTGGGTGATGTATGATGAGAGGAGTGTCTTATTTTCTCCTCTCCTTGCGTTGTATCCCTCCACCAGGAGAAACTGTACCTAAATGACCACTGTTCATGCGCAGGGGACTACAGCTTATTTTGCCACCCTGTGCTGAAGGCTTCTCTAACACCCTCTCTCCCTAGGACCTGAATGGATCAGAAGGCTCCTCCGCGGAGGGGCACCCACATCTGTGCAGAGCAGCGGAGCACCTGGATCGGCATCCCCACAGCACCCACCTCCCAGCCCAGGTGAGCCTGAGCAGCCTGGGCCAGCCCAGGGCTGCCACGTGTCCTCCCAGCCCTGCGGATGTGCTGCTGGAGGGATCACGGCTCCCTCCAGGCAGAGGCATGGATGGGAAGCCCGTCCCTGGAGCCGGTCACTGCCCATGCTCCTCTCCAGAGCAGTGGCAGTGCCAACCAGGGATCCAGATCGGCTCTGAGCTGCATTGCGGGCACCTTCCTGCAGCCACCGCTGCCCCCTGCACCTCTGCTGCCGTCGGCAGCCTCCGGTGAGGTGCCCTGGCCAGGCCCGGGATGCGGAGGAGCATCCCGCCTGCTGGGCTGCGCTCTGACCCTCTCCGGGGCCAAGGGGAGGAGAGAGCCCGGCGCCCACACCCAGGGCAAAGCTCCCTCTTTCCTCTTGCCACCACAAACCAGCCCGGGGGACACCAGCGCCGCCAGGCTCCTCGCTCAGGCCAGGGCCAGCGTGTCTCCCCTGCCACATTCACCAAGGAGAGGCTTCCCTCCACGTAGGATTTCCACACGCTACTGAAAACATGCACACTTGCTGCTGCTCTAAAGTCTTGAATGACTTTTATTACCTAAAAATGTCCCTTCCTCAAAACACAACAACTAGCTATCTGCCTTTTAAGACATATAAAGGAATCCATCTGACATCGGCATTATTCGCAGAAAAGATCTGAAAACATTCCTGAGATTTTATTCCACCAGAAGAGTCAGGCCAGAAGCAATTTAAATCTATTGGTAAGCTTAGGCTTTTCTTGTATGTTTATACACACACAATTTCACAGTTACTAGCAACTGAAATAGATAAAAATACCATTAATAATCTGATGATATATATGATAATTGTATTATCTCTGCAGAAAAGAATTCTTCTCTGTTTCATCAGCTGTTTTCCTACATTTTTACCTAGTATCACAAAGTTCCTGTTTGGTTAAGTCCGCACGCAAATTCAGCAGTTCTATTGGCTTGCCCCACTATAATGATTTTTTTTCTTTCAGTTTGGACAGGCTCAAGTCTAGTATATTTACACAGTCATCAAAACAGTCAGAAAACTGTTACTTACCAACTGATGTAAGTCCGTGTTTTATAGATTCCTGTATGTTGGCTGTGTGAGAACTAGAAGACATTATTAAGTACAAATACACAGTACCCTTGGGTGCAAGGGGTACAGCATTGAGTACAGAAGAGGTGCAGCCTGTAAACTTTTCTGGCCTTGAGGCCCAGGCTATAACAGCCTTCAGTGAAAGTCGGTGTGATGAACAACAACAACAACTACAACAACAAAAAAATTATCCAAGAATTCAGAAAGTAACAAGCATGTCTTGCAGTGGACTCTGTACTTTTTCCAGCATTAGTGACCTGCTGTAAACCATGTATCCCATTTCGTGATACTCTCTAATCAGGAGAATTGGAACTTGCGATAGGTTTGGCATCATCACGTGATGTTGTACAGCTTGATAAGAGGACCCTGTTATAAAGTGACAGCAAAAGAGATAAGAGCTCTTGGCAGATAATGGCAGAGAAATGATTAACCTGGAGTGGAGAGGTGCTATGAAGCCCAGAGAGGGGAAGGTTGTAAAGTGGTGGGGTCATAAGATCATAGCGAGTGGATGAAAAGCCATAGCAATGTAAGAGAAACGACTACAAGCTCAGACTTGTGACCCGTGTGCTCGATGTCATCACCTCTTTGCACAGTGGACAGCAAGCACAGTGGTTTGGGCTTCTGTAAACACTCTTGGGATGGCAAAACAAGCAAACACTGATTCCTTAAGGGAGGCCTATGACTGCGCCTGGGCTTCTCCACCCTGAGTAACAGCATGAGCAAATCTCTGCCAAGGGCTTTATCAGACAAAACCAGTTTATGGCACCTACTGCTCAGGTCTGAGCCCGGCTCTGGGCTGTTTGGAGGGCGGCCGTTTAGCTGAAAGCATACACTCTTTTCTCCATAAAGCGAGAGCTTTACGGCGTGGTTAAACATTGGTGCCCYGGGGTTACGATGCCTACGCGGTACGGCGCGCACCTCTGAGGCCGCGGCGGCGCGCGGCGGGAAATGGCGACGCTCGAGGGCGTCGCGCTGTGGGCCAGAGCACAGGGAGATCCGTCTGCGTGTCCATGAGTGGGGCAAGTCCTGCTCACATACACCTCGGGGGCAATGCAGGGGCACTACAGGGCCTTAAGTGTCACCGTGTGGAGCTTGTGGCTCTCTCGGTGCTGCCTGTGGCTGGTGGGGCCTGTTTTTCCTCTCCTCGTGGCAGCACCAGCCATCGTTTCAACTGCAGCCCGATAAATTCAGCACTTGGTGGGGTCAGACACAAGCCTGAATATTCAGCTGATATTTGGTATTTCAAGTCGCTTGAAAAACAGAGCGACGCTATTCTGTTGTGGGCTGGATGTGGAGCCTCTGGAAGTCAGCGGGAGTTTTTCCTCCTGGATTTGCAGGGGCTGTGAAGCAGCACGGGCCCTTTCGTGCACCTTGTCGCAGGAGCCRGGCTTTGCTGATAACGTGACAGGCAGCTGAGCCGGTGCTCGCACTGAGCTGCTTTTCAGGCTTTACTTAGTCGGGWCTAGAGGCAGAGAGCAGGTCTGTGCAGGGGTTGATGCAGGAAACCATGCAAGGACTTTCTGAGGCTTGGGCTTGCTCTGGATGGGGGTGTCCCCACCATCACTTCACAGGGGTGGCTTGCAGTGCTTTCCAAATTCTTAAGCAACAACTGCACGAGCTTTGCTTGCCATGGCAGAGTGTATAAATCACATCTTTGCTCACCCAATTAATGAGTCACACTCATAAACGCTCGTTTTGCTAATGGTATGTGAGGCAATTAAAATCACAAGGATTTGTGCACTTATGGAAATCAGTGTTATTCTCCTCTTTCTTTTATATTTGTAAGGTGAGTGTACTTCCTTGTAGCAACATCATGAATATTAGTGTCTGTGGGGTTTAAAAAGGCTTTAAGAGGAAAACCTGCTATGTAAATTTATCTTCCTATTTATTGCAAAAAAAATGATTTATGAGGCTGGTTAAATGGATATTATGTGTGTCTCTAAGTTCACTGAACTTTCTTTATCTGTTCAGACTGCCTGAAAGCCGGAAGCCAGCTATTGCAACAAATTTTATACAAACCTAAAGAATTTGATTCTTTGTTTTAATCCGTTTGATGATCAAATGCACTTGAAATTCAATTCATACAAAATAAGAACAATTCTTTATTCCATCAGAAAAAAATAATTAAAAAAAGAACATGTCTTTGGGGACTAGGGATAAAATAAAAGAGAAATGCTGCAAATGATACTGTGGTTAGAAACTTTCCACCGTGTCATCAGAGACATTGCTGAAGCCCTGCTGGCCCATATTACGAGATTTCTATGAAGGAATCTGCCATCCGTGGGGGAGAAAGATACTAAATCATAAGAAATATAAAGAAACTCCATGCTTCTGGCTTCAGATGCTACCATTCCTTCCCTTTTTTGAATTAGTATCAAATGTCAAGGCCATTTAAAAATGCTCTTTTTTTTGCTTCCTTTTTTTTTTGCTTTCCCTTTCTGCTACATGGTGTCCATTGGTAGAAGAATGCATGCTAGATGCATAACCACACAGCCTTGCTTTGCTTTCTTTATACCCAGCCCAACGAGGGAAAGGAAATCTGCAGGAAAACTCCAGGGCAATATACATCTGCCAGGGATCCAGCCACTCCTCATATTTAGCAGCCAAATTTTTGGGCCCCAGCTGAGAAAGGTGCAGAAAGATGTGTGTAAAGTCAGGCTTAGGAGCTGTCCCACTGAAGCTCTGCACTTTCTGCATCATGGATCGAAAAACATTTACTTTTTTTTTTTTTTTTTCTTGCCAGCTCTCGTATGATGAAATTGTCCCTTGTTTGTCCCCGAGACAAATGTCCTCAAAGAAAATGTACCTGATTTCAAAAGCTTGGCAACAATCCCTCCTTTGACTCTTGCATATCAAATTATTTTGTAACCACAAAAATGGAATTAAGTAGTAGTTTCTCCTCTAGCGGACATTCTTTCTGCTGTCGTTTCATTTGGGCATGTAGGGATGGTAACATGGCAGCTCTGGAAATGGATAGACAAATGAACAGTCACTTTTCAAAGAATTTCAATGCTCGATTCCTTATGTAGGTGCAAACTTAGTGACATCAGTCTTGAGTCTGTTGTTTTTCCTTTTGCATATTACTCTTCTGAAGCTCGTGTGCTCCTCATCATCTTCCCGTGCCGTTGCAAGGGACTATTGACTTTGTTGTCAACACACCTCAACAAAACCAAACATTCAGCCCAGCACACTTCAAACGAGGGACACGGTCCTCATTCTCCTGAAAGTCCATGGCAAATGTGGCATTGACCCTGGCATAAAGCCTACCAAACACAAGCTGAGCCACCTCCTCTTAAAGAGTAGTCCAGTTGGTGCCAGGGGAAGGTTTATTTAAGTGGAAAGAGATTTATAAATTATTACAATGGCATTTCTGCTAATAAATTAATATCTAGAATGGGAGGTAAGTGCAGACATTTGTGTTACTTAGGTTAAGTGAGGATTTGAGAACCTTCAGGACTGCTTAGGAAGGAAAATCAATTCTGTGCAAAAGACAGTATACAACTGTGAATCCCCAAGTCCTCCTTTTGGTTTGAGAAGAGCTGTTCAGGTACTTTTATTTATCTGTCTGTCTGTCTGTCTGTCTATCTATCTATCCATCCATCCATCCATCCATGAATCCATCCATCCAAACAACTTCCATCTGAATTTCCTGCATACCTCCTTTTCTTCAACAGCCTAACTTATTGGCATATGAAGAAAAATGATATTAATTAGTTACTTACAGAACCTTTTTGAAGCTTATCTGGGAGATATTTACTAGAAATATAAGCAGAGTATTTGACTTTGTGAGAAAAGAACAGATTTCTGTGCAATAGGTGAGGAGAAATTACTTCCATGCACATATCAGCAACAGGTGTTGTGAACTCATCCATCATTTTACATAGCACTTGGGTACAGAAAAAAGTTCCTTCTTTGAGCACTATTAATAAAAAAAAAGAGGAATATAGTAGTTTGGAAGGAAGGGAGGTAAAAGAGACTTAAAGTACCATGTTGGTACCTTTTGAATGTCATAGCTACATTTTCTGATTTTTCAAGATACGTACATAAGAGTAGAGACCCATGGTCAAGTCCCACCAAAACGCAGCATGAGACAGGATGGAAATATCRAATTTTACCTCAGGAGACTTATTTCTGAAAGGCTCTGAGCGCACAAGGAGGTTCTGACTAATTTCTGCTCCCAAAGGAAGCTGAYGCTACATTGAAGCTTGGCCTTCCTGCAGACCATGGTGGCAGCAGGACACGAGTGTAGGGGCAGATGGGACCTTTCATTCTTTCCATCTCTCTAACAAGCAAATAGAGTTGGTTCCACTTTCAAAGCTGCATTTTATTTTTGGGAATGGTATGAGGCAGGAGGGGAAAGTGGGTTACAAAGCACTCAGAAACTCAACATTTCTAATCATTTTTGTAATAATGGTGAGAAATGCAGCACCTGGCAGGAGAGATAAGTGGATTTTCCTAAGCTCTGTTATAGGTGGGTAAATACTGCTCTGGTTTATGGCACTAATAATTAAACAGCACATCAGTCTTTCTCTTGGCAATAGAAATTTTAAGGTGGTTGTCTTCTGGAGGTATATGCTGAAATCTGAGCTTGAGTAACTACTTATATCCAAGTGTAAGCTTCATAGCGAAACAGTATATCTATTTTGTACAATGGATATATGTATGTAACATTGAAGAAAGACATATTTTTCATTGTCTTCTAAGTCATTTAGGCACCACTCATGGTCAATATTGCAGTTCTGAAAAACAGAACAAATAGGTTTAAGTTCTGAGAAATGCTCCGTTCCTTCAAGAACATACTGTCCCTCGTGAAGTTACATGAATAATAGATTAGGATAACATATTAATTAATATTTTTGTATCTGTTTATATGATGTGTTCGCAGTTTATCAGGTGGTGTAGTAATTTTGTTATATACTTGGGCCACAATAAAAACCAAAGAGCTTGGGTGCTTGTGTGGCTGGGGAGAGCAAGAGCACTTGGAATTTCTAAAGGGAGCTTGGAGGGAGCAATTTTGATTCAGACCTTTAATGCCTCTGCAGTTGTGCATGCAAATCATTACTGCTCAGCCATTCCGTTTGTGCAGAGCCTAGATTAAGTTCGTGGCCTCCAGCTGGGGCTTCTGGGTGTTTCTACCACWCCAACATACAGTAACAGATACCTAATTACTCTGATTAATCATAAATTCACATTAATCTCATCCTAACGCTGTTCCTCTTCTCTGGTCACTGATGCCTAGTCCCTAGTTAGGCTGGAATACTTGTAGTGATCCAGACAACAAATTGCACATCAGCACTGCAGACCTGCTGATGACCCCKGGAAAATACTATCACATATACACAATAAGAGATGCTTAATAGTGGAAAAATGGTTAAAGAAATAAGCTTTTGTCAGGCTCCTGAGGGCACTGACTAGGTCTTAATGGCCCTGAGGAGCCTCAGCTGTGCCCACCCACAGCCTCTGCCATGGCCCAGGGCTCCATTTAATCTTCAGCCTCTGGCTTTAGTGCTYCCCTGAGCTTGTTGTAGATGAGCCTGAGCTCTTGTTTGGCTCTCTGAGGCCAACTTCAGGCCTGTCCTGTTACCTTGATTCCACATGAGGATTCCTGGAGCCTCCCRAGGACCTGCTGCTACCACCCTGCTGCTCTGCTTGCCTGGTTCTGGAGCTGTATGACTGTCTCTTGCTGGTAATGTCTGRTGTTTTTGGCCAGCCCTTGCTGTGGCTGGTCCTCATTTTGCTTCCCTTAAGGTGCAACTAGTCCTTGATGCTCCCTGGCAGGTTTTCCACAATGAAGTTGTGATTTCAAACTGCTCTGAGACTCATTGGCTGTAAAATATAACTATTTATACAAAAGAAAAATGACTGCCCTACTGTTTCCTTGCCTAAATCTTTGTTCTTTCTATAGCAATTCACATTTTTGAATTAGAAAACAGAAGGCTCAGGGCAAGATTGAATGTTTAGGGCCACCATGAAGTTGGTGAAGCAAGCTAGCTGAATATCTCTCTGAATTTCTGTATTCCCCAGATATTTATTTGTAGGAGTGCTATGGTCCCCATCTTGAGGAATAATCTTACTTTTATATGGCATTAGTTGTTCCTTCACATACAGGGAAGGTCACTTATTGTTCTCTTACTTCAGTAAGATTACTCTTGTTGGTGAAGTCAGCAGTGACTTTGTTCATCATTTCACATCCTGTTCTCCTTTCCCTCTGTAGCCTGTAGAGGGATTCTCCTCTTTTCTTCCCATGGTTAGCAATAACTGCTTCTGTAATGAAGCACACGGACTTGTTGGAGCTTCTGTGTGCTTGGACCTGCACTTGGAAGGTAAAGGCTTTTGAAATGACAGTCTGATAGCCCTTCTTGGGATTTTCCCCATGCATTTATAGTTTTCTGTTGTCTGTTATCCTGAGCTACCCTATTTGCCACCTGTACATCAGTTCCTGGTGGGTAATGACTGAGCAGTAAATATTGATTTGAATATTGATCTTCATTTCTTATTAATGACATTGGCAGGTTCTGAATCTGGTGATGTGTAAGGTGTCACTATGGAACTTCTTATTTTCTTGCCAAAAGAACCTCCTCACTCCATCCMTGCATCCTTCTGTGCCACACCTTGAAGGTGCAGAAGTCTCATCAAAGGAGCAAAAGTTTCACATTTTACAAAATATTGAAAATTTTACAGTGATGTTCAGTTCTGTCTGAAATATTCAGGCACTCCAGAATACTGTACTGGATCAGTTATTTACTCAGTATAAAACTCAGACAAATTATGGAAAGACAGAAGAGGTGTGGAAAGGAGGAAWTCCTTCTGACTCAAAGTTTCTAGGTTGGACAAAACTAGAGCTGCTGAGACAGGGAGATGTGTTTTTGGTGCAAATGCAGGCTTTCATCCCTTATTATGGGCAGTTTTCTCAGTCTTATCATTGGCAAATCCTTCTGCTACTGATCTCACTAGAGGAGGCTCATACCAGGTCTATAATTTATTTTATAAAAAGCAAAGCAAACTAGAGTCTTTTCCTCACTTATCCTGGTGAGAGCTGCTTTGAAGTCACTGACATTGTGATTGTGTAAAATGTTGGGAAGGGATAAGAATTGAGGTTCTTAGTTTACGTTTTAATTCCAGAAGCTGGTAAATGCTCTGTAATTTTGCAACAAGCCCTGTGATTTTGGCAGGAGGTCAAGCATTTCTGTATCACTTCTCCTGTAATATCAGTGGACTTTTGAAACTAGAAGAATTCAAGTGAAATTATTGTAGCTCAAAATGTGTCTACACCATGAATAAAAGCACATTTTGTTACTTCACACAGATRTTTTTCTTTCTTGCTTTATTCTGTTACTGGTTTTATTTCTGACCCTTTTCTATTTTGGATCTTTTTCCTCTTGTTTGTTTTTCTGCTGTCTTTTCTGCGTAGCTTTCCTCTGCTTCTTTCTTATGTGCATCTTAGCCTTGGCCCTCACACTGAGGCCAACCACCTTCCTCAATGTAGGGTTGAGGATGTTCAGACTTTCCCTGACTCAGACTTTGTGCTGCTTGCTAACCAGTAATGCTTTCTTTCTATAAAGGAGTACAGTAAATATTCTGCATATACAGCATTAAAACAGCAGGCAATGCTGGTAGCCTAAAGCTGAAACTGTTTCGCACTGTAGTGTTTGGAAYAACAAGGGTTGCTTTTAACCTTTGWGCTTGCACTGGATTTCTGCACCTCTCTGGGATAAGTACAGMTCAATTGCAGCATGGCAAGTGGATTCCCATGGCTTTGGTCTGTCAAAAGTTGCAGCCCACAGTATTGCTTGAGATGCCATGGGTAGCTGGAATCCCATTCGTGCTCTCCCCTGGAAGCAGCTGTACTGAGAAAGCTTCTTTCAGARAATTATTCCCCGAGCAGAACAACTTGTGCAACCCAAACCCCAGYGTTTCTTCTGCCACATGCTCATTCTATTTTTTTTCCCCCCTGTTAAAAAGYTTTAGCTCTGGTGCTTTGTAGTGGATTCATATGGGATTTGGGGCTAATACTGATCCTCTTGTGAAAGGTCGCTTGAAAATCTTTAGTTCAGGCAGCCGATAGATGGCAGGTCAAGATGTTGATAACTTCAAATGTGAATGCTTAACATATCTGGAAGCTGTCTTTTGGGCTGAGCTCTAGACAAGCTTTATGAGAAGGTGCCGTATCTCCTCGCTTATCTGTGAAGCCTCTTTTTACACCCTGACTGCTGTAGAAATAATTATGATCTCAAAGCTTGACAGCCCCACCCCATCTGAGCATCCCAGAGCATCCACCACTTGTTTTAAGGTCTGCCTAACCATCTTGGAGCTGAGCTGGCTAGAAAATATAAGCTGACCCTATAAGAATGAAAACTTTGTGAAAGTTGAACCTTCGACGTGAGACCTCTGTGTGCCGAGGGAAAAACTGTCAGAGTTCCACGTGCTTCATCTGTGAGCCTGCTGCTTTCGGCTTGTGGAAGATGTAAAGACTCATCCTTAAAACAGAGACCTAATTGACTGGATAGTGAATTGGGTGATCCCTGCTTTATCTTATGTGACTTGATTGCCCACAATGTTGAAAGCTGGCTGCARTGTGTTGTACTTTGTACTTCTCCTTAAGCCTCAGTTGCTTTTATACCATTGTTCTGAGAAGCTGTTTAGAGAACTGTGAATCTCTGATATGATTCAGTCCTAGAGTCACTCCAAAATACAAAGACCCTATTGTCCTACCGGGTATTGGCGTGTTGTAAAGAAGAGCTGGCTACTTGTAGTTTTTAAGCATATTACATGACAAGAGTGTCCCAAATAAAGCTCAGAATTTAAAGATGAAACCCAAAAAGGTGAATTTAGTTCCTACTTTAAGAAAGGCATCTACTTTTAGATAGAGCATTAATGCAGTCTACATTTCTTCAGCAGGTGCTGTATTTCCAGGACCATCCACTCACCTGTGCAGTAATTGAGTACATAGATTCACTGGTAAGGTTCTAGGTTTTGGTATAAATATTAATCATTTTGGTATGTCCTATTGGTCTTTACAGAAGTTTGCACCCATTATACAAGGGTGTGTTCTTAAATTAGGGCAGCATTACTGACAGGTATGTTTCAACTTATGTTTTAGTAGAAAACTAAGTGAACTGTTGCACTTCCCTTGGTTCAGACAGAATTATATCCCACTGCTGAATTGTATTGATTTATCAACACTGAGTGCTTTATTAGCAGCATAGCTTTAGTTTTATTAATCCTAATTCTCTGTTTGAACAGGAGAATCATAGGAACAAAAGGGCAAAAGCTCTGAAATAAACACAAGTCTTTGGAATTAGAGCAATGTTTTAGAAACAGGTTAATACAACTGGTTTGGGTGACTTACAGGCTTTACTTGGTTTAAGTTTCTAGGTTTTTTTTTCCTCCCATTTTAAAAGGTAAGTTGGAATTCAGCAGGTATCATCTTGGAGGAGCTATGAGGACAGCGATAGGTGGGAAAGGCGGCCAAGCCCTTTCCTTATTCCCTTGCAAGTCTGAGCATCAGCAAGGCACAGCTCCACCTCCTGCTTCCCAAAGGACTGTRCAGAGATGTCCATTGAGTTCCTAAGGAAGCAGCCTTGCTCCCACCATGTCAATATGTGCCATAAATTATCCACTGGGTGGGAGACGTGTTTCTACAGGCAGTTACAACACGTTGTGTGCACTGTCTTCTCTTGTTTCTCCCGTTCTTGCGGCTAGTTTATTTGACTTTATTCTTTCTTTTCTTCCTTGTAGTTGTCAAATGAGTCATATCAAATCTTCATTGTTGCTCAAGAAAAAATATTGTGTGAATCAATGCTGTTAGTATTAATATAACCAGATTCTTTATGACAAAACCTCATCCCTGTTCATGGGAGGAACTGTATGTCAGTGGAGTTTCCTGTAAGTCTGTACTGAAGAGCACCACTCCTTTGAGTGAGGAAAGTGCATCATAGGAAGATTCAAAGCATTTTGATGATATGGTAAACAGATGAAAGTGGTTTTGATTGCCACTGATCTTTAAAAAAGGATGTACCTTATTTGAAAAAAATTTAATGCATATTGTAACTTCATTTTGTTATGGCCACTTTTTTTCCCTTAATGATAGGTCTATTTTTGTTTTGTATAGTATAATATCCTGCTTAATGCAAATTCATCCCTCCTCTCCACATTCATAATGCTCGGACTGGTGGTCTTGGAATTAGACCTACTAGATCTTAGGCATGAGTAAAGTTTCGAACTTAAGAGGCTGAAGCAAAGGCATTTTATAGCTCTTTTGGTCTAAGGAGAAACTATTTGAAAGGTGATGCTATACATTCTTTCAAAATTCTTGGTCAGGAAAGCCCCCCATTATCACATTTGGTTTAGAAGGAGGAAAAAAGATGCGTTTCCTTTGACAAACTTGGCTGATGTATCTACGTGCTGTCACGCTAAGTGTGGTCACTAGGAGGAAGGTGCCCCGGTGGACGTGGCTGGCAGACTCCTGGCCTTGAGGCTCGCTCTTCTTCCCACTTTCATGGCAGTGCCTGGGAATTGCCTTTCGTTTGGGAACGTCGGCCAGGGAGCTCGGGAGCCAAGTCGGGAGCGACGTTATTTGAACTGGCAGACAGTGAATGACTGGCACTGGGCATTGTTACTGAGTCCTTGTTGTGAGCTTTGAATGTGCCATTAGTTTTGCAAAAGCGCTTGCTGTCAGTATTCCTGAAATACTAACATTGGGGCAGAGCAGTCTGTCTTTATGAATATTCCTGAATAAAGCATAAGGTAATTCCTGTCATAGGCATTATGCCTGTGCATCCCACAGTGAAAAATGCATCTTCTTGGGCCCTGTGGGACAATTTTTTACTTTAGTTACATGAGAGAAAATGCAGAGTAAAGTCATGGCTGTTGCTGGGWTCTTTCAGTGATGCAAATGAAAGCTGAATTACTCCTTCTCCTGTATCTGATATTTTGCATAGAAATGCTCACTGTGCTGAGATACCCACACTGGCAAGAATGTGTCTGTGGAGTGAACATTTCCAATTTTAATTTTTGAGCCATGCGTAAGAGGCTCCAGGGAACAGTGTGTACTGTCAGCAGAAGTTATCTTTTTGATGAATCAGACACATTGTTTGTACCCCTGCGTTTGATAGACGTGTTGTAATAAGGTCCTGAACTGCTTACTGTGTCTTTATGTACCTTCCCTCTCAGCACTTGTAACTATTGTGCTGCTTGACCTATATTAATGGTACTACAAACAACAAGTTTAACGATTAACTTGTGAGCCCTGCTTAAATGGATTTGGCCAAGGGATGAGAACTGCAGATTTAAGGAGGTAAAAATTAGAAAGGGCCAGTGTGAAGGCTCACAGTGCTGCCTGAGCTGATATGGAGGCTACAAAGAGTTTCCAAGACCCAAGAGTAAAACCTAGCAATACATTATTACAGTCTGAGCAGCTAGTGCCATTCAAGGTATAGACAAATGGTATTTTAATTTCCTTTATTCATTAAATAACTTGTGCATCTTCTCTGTTTGGTTGTTTCAGTGAGGCTTGCTGTGTAACCTATATCCACCCATACGACTGGAGCTAGAAGAGCTGCCCCAAAGTGGGGTGCTTCCTGCTGGTGCCTGGGGAAAGGRGGCTTAGGGTCACAGTGGGGACAGGGAGAGCTAGCAGTCCAAGGGAAAGGAGGTAATGCCAAAGGARTAGTATTTAAACACGGAAATAGCCTTTCCTTTAAAATTCTAAATCAAAGAGCAATMGGATTGGCTTGGCTTAGCTAATTTCAGAAATTCAAGTGCCTCAAGCTCGCAGAGCTTGAAGTTTAGGCCATTTAGGAAGAGGCAAAACTCATTTCTTGTGTGTGGTTTTGTTATCTCCGAATAAATCATAATGTGATTCCAGGTTCATGGTAGTCATCCCATATGCACGCAGCCAGCAGGAAACGTGCGATGGTTCAAGATCCGATGTGGTTTGTTCCTTCATGGGAAAGACTCGGTCTCTCAGCTCACTGATGTCTGTATTTTCGACTGAGGTCTTTGGAGCAGGCRAAGGTGGGAAGTGTGGAGGTCTCCGATGTCCTGCCAGAATCTTTTGTGTTCAGTGATGCAGCTGCCTCCCCTTGTGCACCCAGGCATTTAATTATGCTACTGTTTTCCTTTGGTTATCATATCTCTTCCTGCTAGGATTTCATCACTCTGGCTATACAGGAGGCTTGTAGGCATCTTGTGCAATCGAGCAGTGTGTGTGTGTCCTGCCGGGTCCTGATAATTGACAGCACCAGAAATATGTGCTTTAGCCAGAAGTAGCAGTTCATATTTGTAGGTGCAGGTGTCCGTGGTTCATCCTCTGTAGCTGGACTATTCTGCAGCATTTTTACAGTCCTGTTTGCTGTGAATTAAGCATTAGGTTGCAGTACACGCATAATCAAAACGGAGAATCTCAACACAAATCCCCTATGGTCATCTGAGAGGCTCCTGTGGAGCTATAAGAGAAGGACAGAATCACCCATTCTATTCTAACCCCAGCCAAACGTGGTGTTTGAGTGTTTCGTCTAGATGTGATTCTTGTGTCCTTATTCTCGTGTAGTCAAGCTGGGAGGAACAGGACCTTGTCACTGGCCTAGCTTGGTTGAAACAGGTAAGTGAAAACAAAGCTCTATCATCTTTGATCTCAAGAGTTGTTAACTGAGAAATACTTTCCTATATATCTTGACTTCTRTGTTTTGCAGTCTTGATCTGAGGATTGCTGGCATCTCGGTAAACATCAAATTAAATCACTCCAAGTTTTATAATGAGGCAATGAACAGAATCACCAACATTGTAGTGACATCTAAGTCAAGTCACTGATGGTCAGCTGGGTTACAAAGGCTACTTGGAAGAGTGGGCCTTGTCTGCTATGGATTTCTAAAGGAAGAGGCCCACAAAGCAACCTGAACTAGAGAGTGGGGTCAATGTAGAGGGCACAAAGGGAAGAAGGTTTGGTGAAGCCTCTTGGGATCAAGCAAACGTGCAGCTGTGGGCCAGCAGAACTGTATTTGCCTCAAGATTTCTCTCTCCTCTGATGCCAGGCATTCCCAAGGTTTGCACTGAAGCTAGTTAAACTGATAAACACCTAAAGATAGATATTTATAAATATAGATACAAATATTTGCTAAGGGCTATCTCTGCTTCATTAATTTAAGTTTATTCCAGAAATTCTACAGAAACAAGTTAAAATAGGAGAAACCAGACCCTACACATAGTGTGTTTATGCATGAAGCTGCTTTGATTTCCTTAATCCGTAATGCAGGTTTGTGTTTAACTCGGAGCAGACCAGGCCTCTGTGGCTCTTCCCCTTTCTTGTCTCCATCTATCCCTCCAACTCGCTGAAGAGCCGCGTTCAGGAGGAGCTCACAGCACCGTGATTTGATCCTCAGCAGTAACTTTTGTTCTAGCAGCTGTGCTGGCTGGCACCCGTGCAAGGAAATCCAGCATTTCCCAGTGCACTGGTACAGCAGTGTGATTTTTATTTTGCTCTGAGTCTAATAGGCACATTCCGGCTTGCAATCATGAGAGGACCTGGCAGATGAGCTTTCGAGATGCTCTTCTCCAGCTCTGGGCAGCAGCTTCCTGCAGTTCTGTGCATTCAAACTAACTTGAAAGTCATCAGATTGTTTTTTCCTCTCCYGATGCATGTAGCTAAGAAATTTGGTGAATTTACTAGTTTGAATATCTCTGTTTAAGTGTTTGTGTGCTAGGCAGATYAGAATGGTGAGCCTGAGGTTTAATGGACTTAAAATCTCTGTCACTTTCTTGTGAGTTTTCAGAAAAATGGAAAATTCTCTTACAAAATGGTAATGTGCAATATGGTCAAGAGAGTTTAAACTAAAGCRGTGAATATAATGAACTGTTATGGATGCAAAAGGGTAGATTCTATTCTAGGACCTGAGGACAAGCTGGCGACACAACAGAGCCCGATTAAGTTGTTACTTTTTGCTCTCCAAGTTGTGCTCTCTAGCCTAGATTAATGCAGCAGTCATGACAAGACAGCATCTTTTGGTATCTCGATACTTTCTGTGCTAAAAGGTTAGCATGAGCTGTCCTGAGAGAATTTTGTCTCGTATCAGAGCTATAAACCTTATCTCAGTAAATAGAATAAAGCTGGCTAATGATCACCAACTTTATTTTCTTTTCTTTCAGGGGATAGGTTTGAAAAAAGTAGTCATTTCTTTCAACAATACGAAAAGCATCTTAGGTAAAATAGTCTTTCTTACATATCAGTAAAGCTAAGTAGACTTTCTTAGGCTGCTTATCACTCCTSTTCTCATATGAAGCGTGTGTGGGGAGTCTAGGTAGCTGCATGGAAAGATGTGTTTCTGAGCACTTATATCAAACTCACTCTACTTTTATGTATAAAATCTCATATGAGATTCAGTGGACTTTGGACTTTGATATTTATTTTATTTTTTAAATCAAAGACATCTTGGAGGAGAAAAGCTCATTGGTGGAACCATCAGGCAGAAATGGAAGCAACTGGTGGTCACTGGGTGGCCCTCCTGAAAGGGAGCGTTGCCAGCTGGAGGCCGATGTGTGGATGAGCAYGGCTGCAGCTGGGAGGGCAGTCGGAATTCCTGCAAAGCAGCTAGGTGGTGCTCGCATTTATTGCGAGCTCTGTGCGAGGTAGAGCTCAGGAGCTGGGGAAGCTGGTGTGGAATGTTAGGAGAAGGACCCTGGGAAGGGGAGTGTTTGCAGAAGAGCAGTGTCTTAAATTAGAAGTAGCCCAAAGGGACAGAGCGTGGAATCCAGGTGTAGTGAGGTGATTCCTTGGGATTCCKATRTGCACGTGTCACAACAGACAGGGARAAAGCTGTGTGGAAGCAGAGGTTCTCTGTCCCCAAAAGACTGAAGTATAATGCCAGCAATTGCACTGAAATTATGGCTTGTTTCAGTGCAATATTTAGACTAAATGGCACTTGAGCTGACACACAGCAAGGGGCCTTTTACCCCAAGAAGCTTTTTGGCAACCTCACTTAATTGCTTTATCTCTGAACTTTCCAGTGCTCACTTTCCCTTTCTCCCTCCTGCAGAGTCACTTTTTACCTAAGTTTTGACTACATTATTCTCTCCAGTGATCTCATTTGGCAACTTATTCCAAGGAATTCACTAGTCTGTATGTGAGTTGGTTCAGCTTCATTTGTTAACTGGTGCTGGTATCTGCTATTTTATGTACTCGGCAGTTGAGCACTTAGGTTATCAAAAGCTGTTCCATTAAATTATGTGTTAATCAGAAGCATGTTTGCAGTGAGTGTGTTTAATGGCACAGTATTACAAACATCATCGCAGGAGAATAGTAGTTCTGTAATGAGTATATTATTATGTGATAAAAAGCTTTGTCACAGCTGCTCTGCTCAGGATATTTGGGCTGGAGTTTGTGGTCTTGGCTGKCCATGATATTAAACTACTGGATGAGATTGCTTCCTGGTCATTCCAATGCTCCTATAGAGTACTCCTATAAAATATGCCATCTCTCAAAACACCCTCATTAGCATGGCTTATTTTTTGAGGGCAAAGATGAGAAATGTTATTGTGATAAGAACTTTGCAGACGCAGAGGTCACATTTGCCTGGTCAACACTACRCTAGTGTAGATCCTGAGTGTGTCTGTCTTGTGTGTTGACTGGCTACCTTGATGGGCTCTGGGAGGTGCAAGGACTGCTCAGGGCTTCATTTCTTGAGTTACCAGCTCTAGCACTTGCAATAGCAAATTTGGAAAGCAAATGCAATATCCCTTGGTGGGCCATGCATGAGGTCTTACCTAGCTATTCTGTTTTAGATACCCTTGTTTCAGTTATATTGGTTTTCCGACTGTGGAACTACAGCAGGAGCACAGGTTTCTAGGACTGAGGACCTGGACTTTGCTCAAATAAGCAATAAACAGTATCCTCTGTGAGGCTGTGTGGACCAGTATCCCAAGATCATTGTATTGTCCGAAGCAGTCTGAGGAAGGTCTCTACAGAAATGTTTGAGGAAGCTAAAAATATCAGCTTTAAATTGATAGTGATCCTAATTTGCCCCCGTGGTTCGGACACGGGGAGGTGCTAAAGATGCCGGGAAAGCTTCCCTTTATTTTGGCAAACATTATGTTGCTGCTTCCACCCGAAAGTCTGATCATCAGCAACAGGTTCATATAGCTCTGTCACAACCTTTATTTAAAGGTGACACCCSTTATTAATAAAGACTCAGTGGTGCTTTATAATAAGGTTTTGAATGTTTTATTCTTTGGGGAGTAGCCTGGATGTGCYGTGCACAGGGAACTGAGCCAAGCTCCTCCTCTTCACGACAGCTGTGGTAAGTGTGCAAATGGCTGTGCTGCCTTAAAAACAGGAAAAAAACTCTYGTGTTGCATCATTCTGGCTGGGAAGTGCTCGAAGTTATTGTGACAGGGCTGTATTTTGAGCAATTGTTGGTGATTTGTTTTTTAGCACACAAAGAAAGTAATAAATCTGTCACCCTGAAAAATCAGGTTGTGACCTAAAGGAAGGAGCAAATTGTGGCTTTAGGTAAAAAAGAGTGACCTGTCTATGGGGGTCATTTATCATTATAGCAAAATTGCTGGAGTCCTCCTAGCTGACCAGGAGAAAAGGCTGCGGTAAGCAGAATCAAGGGATGCAAGCATCCGAATATTTTTAACTGATCAATATTTTCAGGATTTACAAGCAGCCAAAAACCTGTCAGCATGCAAAGCAAATGCACTGTGCATCTGTTCTAAGGCAGAAAACAAGGGAGAATGGGTTTAATTAGGCAATTGAAAATAATATATATTTCAGGTTTAGAATAAATAGTGTGCTTAAAAGTGCATCTCACTGCAGATGCTCTTGCCACCCTTTGCAGGTTGAACAGTGCTATAGAAAATGAGAATCAAAACAAACTCTGAAGATAAGAGGTAAATGAACAAAAACATAAAAAAAAATGAATCTTTTCAAGGTGTTCTTAGCATGTTAGTATTACTTTCCGGTAATATTTGTGGCACAAGTTGAATGTTTCAGGAAACTGTCTCAGAATTCACTTGGGATACACAGATTCATTGTTTGAAAGTAACTAATACTCCCAAATTGTTTGTGATTGATTTAAAAAAAAAAAAAAAAAAATCAAATGTTAAGGACACTCTTCTTTATATAATTAAAAGTTGCCAGCAGACTACTTGATATATAATTAAAAGTTGTTAGCAGAACAAGTTCAGTGTCCCAGCTGAGGCTGACAGGTTGCATCCTTTGGAAAGGATGTATTCAGTCAGTCTGACTTGTGGCATATCAATTAATCATGCTTTGAAATATAAAATTGAAAAGATTAATTTTTAATATCATTCTTCTTAACTACAAAAATCTCACTCAGAATTAAAAAAAAATATACTTCCAGCTAATTTTATAAAATGTTTTCCTGTTAGTCTTTCCTAGTTGCAAATTTTCCCCTTAATCTGTTTTTTATAGAGTTCACAACGACATAATGAAAGAAGAGTGGGGGATGAAAAAAGCCAATTTCCTGTACAGCAATTTTCATGCCAATTGCTAGTTTTGGTTGATTGCCTCAGTGCAGGAGTGTCTGATCAGGCCAGAACATCCAATGCTAAAACCAATTCTAAACTATGAGTTTAGAAAAGCATTTATGATTCAGGCCATCACCTATCGTTAGATATTACCAGTATTATGCTATATTAGGAAGGCTTAACAAAGCTATTTTAATACAGCTTTCAAGGACATTTAAATGTACAAAGGTTGGCAAAGTACTCTACATTTTTAACATATTGWAGAAGACATTAAGATAAAAATCATGCTAAAATAGTAACTTACACGCTGTTTTTAGTGCATATTGATAATATTGTATCATTTTAAGCATAAATTTTAATTCCATTAATTAATTTAGACTCTATTGCATGGCAAAAATGTTGTTTGCATGGATTTTTTTCCTGATTTGGGGCTCACGTGCTGAAGTCTGATATTGTTCTATACTGAAGCTCCTTGGCACATTTTACCATTCCAGAAGAGTCTCAGGCTCTGAGAGGCTGATTAACACTCTGATCAACAAAAAAATAAGTACACAGGAAGTATGGGAAATTCTGGCCAAACTTAAATAGGCAGGAGACCCTTGACAGTTATTTTCTAAATCTAATAATAATCTGATTTTTGAATCTAATAACACAACACGTGGCTGCAGATTAGTAAATGTGTAGGCTGGGTTTCTTGTGTCAAGGTAACAAGACAAAAATGTGCACTTAGCTCCCTTCTGGTATCTTCAAGCGTAACCAATATCACCTTAAACTGTGAGTATAGTTTCTGTATATGAAAAATGTCATTATATCTTTCAGTGAGGTCTGGGACAAGGCCACTGTGTGTGAAGGTTTGGATCCACCACTCAGCAGAATCAAACAGGGTTTTCCTCCCCTCCGTATGCAGTGAACCAGACAGAAGGTATGTAAGACAATATTTTAAAAAGAGCAGAAAAAAATGCTACTTTGAATTCATGAAAGCAAAAAATCAGGAATAAAAAGTTCTCATAGGCAAGCCATGTCTTTTTCTTGTGGACCCCAAATGCATATTTTCTTCTCTAGTTTGATAGTGATCAAAAGGAACTTTTTCGTCCTTCAGGTTGTCAGTGCTCTTTCAAATTTGGTTGAAACTAACCTGTGTTTAAGAATTTAAATTTACTGGAGGAAGACCTATAAAAGTAAAAAACACGACATAGCTGTTCTTTTTGAAATTAGTGTATTTTATTCATGTTTTATTTCTTCTTAACACCTTGACAGTTCATTATTTTAATTGTTTTAAAAAGTTAAATTTATTTTATATGTGGAGAAGGAAAAGCAGGTTATGACAATGAAATAAGGTTCGCCATAATTGAACCTAAAGATTCACCATAAATACTTAAAAATACTGTTTTTTTTTTTCCAGTGTATTTGAGAAAGATTTATCGGCAAACCTCACGTGAGACTCTAAGAAATACTATTCTGCCTGTGAGGTGCAGGCCATGTTCATTTTAGTAAAGATCTACTGTGAACTTTGAAAAGTGACAACAAAAGTAAGTTTTTGTCCTACCTAAGTACATATTAAAGTGCTGAGATATTGCATTTGCCATGCAGTTAGACAAAGTTGTAGACAGCAACTGAAGCAGATATACTATTGCACGTGGAAGCTTAGGACACTTCTAATTTCTAGGAATATAAAACTTGATGCAGAAGCCTCTTTTCTTTTAGCAAAGTCAACTAGACTCTTTGACTTGCTCATTCCTAAGAATTAAAGCTGAGATTGATATAGGAGAGAAAATATAGACTTTATAAATGGAGAGAGCATGTACAACCTAGTATAAACCAGACTCGAAACTTTTTTGACTTGAAATTGTTATCAAGTGTATGGACAATCTTTCCTTCCCAATATAAGCAAGTTATGATACTATTAAATCTGAGAGGAAAAAAAAAATCTAGTTGTAAAGATACCTTTAAAAAATAGATAGGTAAAATGCCAAGAATTTTGATCTTGGTGGCCTGGTAGTGTAGAAACTGCTTAATGAAGTCTATAATAAAACTATAGTTATTTTGCTCATGCATATTAACCAAATCCTGAAGTGCAATGTGCTTGCCTTGCTGCTGCTTTTTATGCCTTCTAGTAGCCATACCTGTTACAAACCATTTCGTCTTTACTGTGTTATTTTTGAGAACTTCCTAATTTAGATGTTCTGTGTTATTAGGACCAAATTGGCAAGTTTTATCTGGCMAAGTTATTTTCTTGCTATTTTTAGACACAAGTGTGCTTGTATTGYGCTCCATGGATTGGCACTTAGATGAGGCTTGGGCATGCAGCTAATCAATCACATCTGGATAATAGACATCAGTGATATTGCTTTGCAAGGTTTGCCCTCTTTGATTTATGCTAGAGGGTTGGTTTTTTTATGGGGCCTTTAGAATATTTGTGACTGAATAATGTTTTTATGACCAAGGCACAAAGACAAAGCCATTATTTCTTTTAGAGCTGTCGATCAACAGTTTGATTAAATTTGTACATATTTCGAGTGCATTCAGGCTGGATGCCATCAAGCAGAGTAAGTGCAATGAGCAAAAAGATGCTTCTAAAGCAATAGTGGTACTGGGCCTGATTTGCTATTGACCATCACCTTGTAGAGCCATTTACAAYGGGGGGATGTAAAATACAATCAAATGCAAATGGTTGCATTTACCCTGTGGTCCGTCCTCAATTTGCTTGATGAGAAGTCTGCATAAACCTCAGGATAGCAGAGACTTGAGACACTGTCCTTCAAGCGTCAGGCAATATTCACCCAAGACATTTCAGTTAATTTTTAGCCTGCTTCATTAGTTCTGAAGTGCTTAAAACCTTCACTACAACCCAGTTTTGATGGAAATGAGGTAAAAAGGAATGCATACCCACAGCTGCTATGCTGACACACGGCTATCCTCATGCTCTGSTGTTCCAGCTTGGGAGTGTGGCTTGGAAGTTTGGGCTGATGATGCTTGATTATAGTGATAAATTAAAGATGAGATGTTACAAGTGAAGAAACAGAGTCTCCTCAGCCTGTAGGTTACATTCAAAGTTGAGTAAATGCTATTTTAACTATATCCTTGAGGGAAAAGTGCAGTATAAAGCGAAGAGAACTGCATGTTCTTTAATGCTATGTGGAGGAGGCATCATAATGGAAAAATCTTATCTAACTGTTTGTAAACTAGTGTTTTGTCTGGAGTCTGYCAGTGGACAAGCTCTGCTGATGCCCTTCTCTTGTTTGCGTTGGTCACCCTGGTCCTCATGTTCTATTGCTCGATTCAGCTCACAGCATTGTTCCTAACCAAGGCATTTTAGTTAAAAAKTGATATAATTCTGGTGTTTTGGGTTAAAAAAAAAGGCTGATAATGTATCACCAGTGTACTAGATTTCAGCATTACAGTGTTTGGCTTTCCATGGGTGATTACAAAATGTTTGCAGCAGAGCATGGGTACTCAGGGCAGTGGAGAGGAGCAACATCCCGATTCCCTGAAGAAGAGTATCGGTAATCCTGCCTTCTTCCCTTTTATTTACTTATTTTCTTTAAAGTCATTACATGTTAACACAGGACTTGGTATTTGCTTCTGCTCTCTCAAAGTGCATATTCCTGCATTCAGGGCTCTTGAGCCCAAGAGTCTTATTGGGGAAAAACAGTCTTATATAATAAAAACATGATCTGTTCTAATTTCTATTATCCTCTCCCTTGTTAGCATGCTACATGAAAGGGAGGTAATACAGAAAATAATGAGGAGTGTTATATAGAGCTACATAAATAAGTCTCTGAAGTAAGAGTGCAAAGAAGCAGTATTGCAATACAGGAGAGAACGATGCTGGCAGTCCCAGATCTCAGCAGCTCTGCTCTGAGGTGTGACACACGTGTAGTGATAACAGTGATGACCAGGAGTGTGTGCAGAGATTGCTGCAGGGATGAGATGGGCCTGTGCAAGGCTGCATGAAAATTTAATAGGAAGAGCATGGGGAACTCTTTACAACTCATAAGAGCAAATTCTGAAAGGCAGAAATACTGTTGGTTTAGCCTGTCCCAAGCTCCTCAAGGCAACTTGTAAGGAGCAGTAATGAATATAATAGATATCAAGACCAATACCAAAAATGCAAGTAGTAGAATAGCAGCCTATATTAATTTGGTGTTTGTCTCTATAGAAGCATAGAGACAAACTATGCAGCATACTAACTTCAGAAAAAAGTATGGATCTACCTTTAAGGTATTGCCTCATTACAATGATTAGTAATCGATACCTTGTGATGCACCCAGTACCCCTAAATAGTGTCTTATTTTCAGTAGAGCTTGACTAACATTTGTATGCAGTCAAGTATAATATCAGTAGCTCTTATCTGATTCCCCAAATTACTGTGGTTTCTAGGTCATGTCACATAATGTTGTAATAAGGTGTGAAGTGTTTCAATGACTTGCTTAAGATAGTACGGTAATCCTGTGGCTGAGCCTAAAATAAAACTCGAGTGTGGCTCCTGATCCAGTGACCTATTCCTGGCAGAGGAGCTGCTGAGTCTCGCTGAGCAAGCACCAAGCCTCTATAAAGCTTGGAGGATGAGCAATTGCATTGTGGAGTATTTACAAACCAAAAAATGAAACCAGCAGGGTTTCCTGTGCCCCTTTTTAGCCCCGGTTTCAACTCCATTTTGGCACAAGTCTGGTTTTAGGACTGGGCTAATAATTGGCCCACTCTGCACATTTGTTGAAGTTTATTTCAGGCTGGGAAACTCTTCTGTATCCCCAGCAATTGGCTGCAGAGAAGGAGCATTGACTTAGCTGAAAGCTGCCTGATCTGGCAGGCACCCTATAATGTTCACTTTTGTACCAAAATTAAATTGGTAGTAATGACTTGGCTAATCCTGGTGTGGCACCTGAGCTGCCATAGATTTAGAAAGCTTCAGCCTCCTTGGTAATGATCATTTCAGAAGGAATCAAGTCTTAGTAGAATAATATTACTATTGCTGACTATCTGTTGAAATAACTGGTCACGGGTTCCTGGGGGAGAGGAAAATAGAAAAAGGAATTTTGCAGGGTGTGTATATATGGGCATATCAACACATATGGAATATCTGAAACAATTTAACACATATGGAATATCTGAAACAATTTTTAGTGATATGAGAAGCTACATTAAGCCTTTTGCTATTGCCAGCTAAAGGGGTGAGGACAGAGCATCCTAGACACCCTGGTCATAGTGCAGTGCTCCTTAGTGTGCAGTGAGTCCAAGCCAGCTTGAAAGGCAGATCTGTGAGTGTGCACATGTGCTTGGGGTTAAATGCCAGCTGCATACCAGCACTTAAGACAAAAAAGAAAACTCCTGACTCAGACAATGCTTTTAAAGCTACTGAGATAACAAACTGAAATTCCTAAAATGCAGGATGTCCTGCTGCAAGAAGGGCCATTAAGAAGGTGGAAGGAAGCTGGACAATCCTGAAGRGAACTATTCACACACAACTCCTTATTTTCAACACACAAAAAAAGGCAAGTAAACTTATACGAAAGAATTTGTTGCAGACTGTGAGCTCTGTGCCACCTGTTATTTTAAAGGCAGTGCTGGTAGATTGGGCAAATGATCCGAATTTGCTTTTAGATATCAGATAAGTCATCTTAACTTTATTTATCTCTCCAAGCTGATAGAAAAAAATAGTAGTTCTTATCTAGTCCAGATATAATCTGTAAATATACAATAACTTCTAGATACACAAAGCAGCCTCTAAAGAAGCCTAGGGCCTGTACCTGCTGCCTTTTTAACTCATTGAGAAAATCTTTGGAAAATGTGGTGTTCTTTTATGTAAAATTAACTTGGGTTTCTGTTTTTGTTTATTAAGTTGTTTGCTTAATCCTTGCTTTATTCAGGTGGTCTTCTTCCAACYATGCAAATGTGTAAAGAGATTATTTTATGAACATGATTTTGTGCTATGAGCTAATTATTAGCTAATTAAAGCCCAACAATAAAAATATTAAGTCAAAATACTTAGCCATATTTCTGTATATATAATATATATTGTGAGAAATTAATAAAATATTTCTATTATGTGGGTGTGTATATATGAAGCCCAGTATTGCTGTGTGTAAACATATATGTCTACATACTACAGCCACTTATTCTTAGTGATCTCCTTTGCTGGGCTTAAAAACAACTTTTGGAAACATTTAAAGGATACATCCARTAAACAGGGATTGCTTCATTTAGTCAGACTTGAGATTTTTGCAAGGTTTTTGCTTATCTCTATATGAATATACGTGTGTGTGTGTGTATATAATATATATAACATGAAGAATTCCCCCTCTACACACACTGACTGTGCTTATAATTATGTTGCAGAAATAATGTATAATTTTTCCTGCCAGATGAAGAGAGCATAATACTATGGAAAAAATACTAATCTGAAGAAAAAAATCCTGGAACAATTTCACTGGCATCCGTGCAATGTGGTGCTCAAATATCAAATAAGGCACAAGACAATTAGCTCAGGCTGTGCCTTGGAGAAGCAGAGTGGGATGCCAAAGTTCCTATCCTATGATGCCATAAATTCAGTTTTGTCAGCAGAGCTTCAGGTTTTATTCGGGAGCAACCCAAACCTGCACTGTGTGTGTTAATCTCTTTGTGAAGTGACTCGGGACTTCCTGATGGGGCAAGTGAGATAACTCTTCCCAGGCATTCCATATGAGACAATGCTTAGGAAGACAACTGGAAATTCAAATACCCTGTTACATGTAGTTAAGAAGATGGATTTATATTAGCAAGAAAATATTTCAAGCTATCCTATTGCTGATTACATTTTTTTTCCCTATTTATTCTACACATACGGAAAAGTAATATAATCTGTAGAACATCAATCTTCCAGTAGGCCCCATTTCCTCTGCAAATGCTACTGTTTTTTTTAAAGACTTTTCCATGAAAGTGCTCTTTGGTGAGCAGATAATAACGTTTAATGCTTTTGCTTATTAAGTGAAACTCAGGAATAATTTTGCAGTTAGATTCTTTCAACATATGGAATATTCTACAGTATAGTCTGTGGGCATACAGGGGGTGGGAGGCAGTTGTAGGTAAACGATTCAGTGGATTAGGAGCCTTGTCCCAATTGTGTGAAATAGTGATTCATATATTAAGGGTGAAATAAAGTGAGCAGTCTTTTTTGTTTGTTTGTTTGTTTTAAATGTTTTTTTTTTAAGTTTGAAAGTTTTTTTTAAGAAAAAAACTTCACTCTGTTTACGTCAGTTAACAAAGCAAGGTTAACATGTTTTCAGTGCAGAAACAGGTTAGCCATGCACAATTCCTTGGTTTGCTTTGATAGACACACTGTAGGTAAGAGAAAAAGCACAGAACTCAACCTTGTTTATGCTCAGACAGTCTTGCTTGAAAATGCATGTATGTACAGGCTTGCAGGGGATGTTACATCTGTCATTTTAACACAGTCCTTTTCATACCTACTGAAAGACTCCGCATCAAATGAGTTAGAAATTTTTGTTCACTCAACCTCACTGAAAACATGGCTTTTCTTTAATTAAAAGTTCCTGTTCTTCTATTTAAAAATGCATGTAGASGTGGGCCATCCTGGAGCCAGTTTGTATAATACCCTCCTAGTAAGAAAGTCTGGCCTTAGGGCATCCCCTTGCCCAGGGCTTCTGCAGGGATCTGGGAACAGAATTTCTAATGGCCAAGGCTGCCTTTATCAGCTTCTTCCTAATGCCTGCTACAGTAAACACCTACACCTGTGCTCTGCTTCTAAAAGTCACAAGAYGTCCTGAGCACAAGGAGCCTAGGCTTAAAATAAATCCCAAACCAGCTGAAACATCATTCCCAGGTAACAGTTCTGTACTCTAGCTCTGGCATGACTTCAGCAAGAGCTCTCTTTGCATTGCAGTCTTTATTTATGTTAAAGCTTAATAATTCTTGTCAGAGCCCTCATACAAGAGGGGTATCCAGTGCATAGTGGGTTTCTTTTCCCATTTTCCCCTCGTTGAAACAGCAGCTCAGTTTCTCCCGTTGCTAATACRGTAGGATCTCGTCACCCGCCTTTGCTGGGAGCCTGATGCTGAGGAGCAGCCAGCAGGGCCTAGTGCAGCTCTGGTCTGGCTTGTCGTGAGGTGCAGGGGCAGAGTAGGGCAGGAGATGCAAAGTTCCCACTTCTTAGCAGACAGCAAAAGRTATACCTTATTATTCTGTACCTTATTTTGGAGAAACTCTTGGAGTTTAGCAGTTCAAGTCAAATATGGGCTTGAGGGGTATCTAACTAGATGTAATAGGAGCTTGTGTTTTTCTCCTGTCACACAGACAGGCTTGTGACCTTTCCAGATTTTATTTACTCAAAATAAACCAACCAGCCCATTTTACAGCTTTGCTCTGGTTCCAATCACAAAGGCAAAGGACAGAGTATTTTTTGAAGTGGAATCAGCGTTATTTTGGCACCACGTTCAATGAAGACTTCCTTTCATTCCAASTTCCTGCAGGAGCTGTTACCTGGTGTTTCTGCCTTACACTTTTGCCGTGCACCGGTGTGTGTGCGTGTGGGTAAGTGGATGCTTTTGCTGCCACCTGCATACGATGATCAGGCTGTGCAAGGCTGGGGATCAGCTCTGCTGGTGGCACGAGCAGCAGCGCTCGAGCAGGGCCCAGGCTGAAGCATAAGGAGGCACGTGTGGTTYATGAAGCCGGGCTGAGGGTGGGTTGAGGTTGATGCTCCTGGTTCCTAGTGCAACAAGGAGCAGTGGAGGGTTCACCAGGAGGCAGCACTTCGGGTGCATTGCCTCCTTCCCATTCCCGTGCTCAGCTCTGGCCTGCAGCCCTCATGCTTTAGACTCACCTCTACAAGAAGGGAATGTTCCCTTTGGAGATGGAGAAAACGGCATCCCTTGGCTAAGGAGGCGTCTCCGGCAGGTTGGGGACTCCAGGACGGTGTCTGTGACACGGGCAGGGCCGGTCCCACGAGCCACGTTGCTGGAGCAGGAGCAGAGGAGCCCTCAGTGCCTCCGGGAGCCGCGCGCTGCGGCGCGGGACGCGAGCGTAAATTTGACRCGCCGGTTACAACACGGTTATCTCCTCGACAATTACACGCTGCGTGACTCCGGAAATGATGCTGAGCTCATCTGAAATGTCTTTGTTATGAAGTATTAGGAAAAGAAAGGAGAAGGGGATGAGGAAGACAAGGAGAGCGGTGTGTGCTTCACCTCAACATCCCACACGGGCTCCCTCCYAACCCTGGCTGGGACCCACATGTGCAGAGGAGACTGTGTAGCTGCCAGGGCAGTTGACATCTCCCCTGGGGGCAGAGCGGATCCCTAGGACCAGGGTGTTTTCTCTATTCAAAATTGTCACTCCAGGTTAAAAGGAACAATTTCCATGTCCTCCTGCTCAGCGGTGATTTCTTCAATATTTTTTCTGCATGAGATCTGTTCTTCCTACTMGAACTAAGGACACGATTCCCTTTGACTTTGGTGGGAGAGTCACCAGGGAATGCACTTAGCTGATCTCTAGAGCCTCTTCTTTCATAGCTGAAAGGGAGTTTAATGTCTAACTCATCCTGGCACAGATATTGGATTAGAGAGCTAAGGTGGGGCTGAGGAACTGCAAGTTTTACCTCTTCTGCTGTCTCTCCACCCATTCAGGAGCACAAGAAGATAAAGCTCTGCAAAAGYCTCTTTTTTGGTATATCAGGAAGATGTTTGTGACTGACAACTGATGCTTGCCAAATCTCCAGGGAAACACTTCTTTCCAGAATGCTTCCCGCTTTTTCTTTCCTTACTAGTTTTTTTTTTTTTTATTGTTATACAACTGTCACCAACACTGGAGGGAGTTTTGATTCAAACTTAGCTCAGGAAACTAGTGAAATCAGCCTAGAGTTCTTTTATTTTGCCACCAAAAATCACATTTAGTTGTACGAGGAAGAGGGCATCCGTGGTGTGGTGAGGACTGGAGTATCTCCCAAGCAGGATGATGTCTGGGTGGCACTTGGTGGAAGGTGAAATAGCACAGGCGAGCCCATAGGTTACCAGCTGGTCTGGCTTTTCTGCAAATAGTGCTGAGGAAATGAAAGGTGTCCCAGGCTGCTTTTAATGTAAAGGAACTAACCGGCAGGATCTTTGCTGGCAGTTTGCCTGTTTTACCCCAGTTTGGCTCCCTCAGAACCTCCTCGACACAAATAAAGCTCCTGCAGAAGGAAGCTCTATATCGTGCACTTAAGTTCCTCTCTTCCTTAAACTTTTGCCGGGGGTGATTTAGCCAGGACACACAGAGTGCAGCTAAACTTCCTTCTTTGGTATTGCACATTTTTTTTTCCTTTTTTCCCTTTAAACACGTGTTTTTTCTCTCCCTCTCGTCCCAGCAGATGGTCTTCAGTTACATGCRGGAGCTTCTATTCCCTGGGTTGCTATGCAACAAGATGCATCCTATCTGCATCCTCTCTGCGCCGTATCCCGTTTCCG